AATTTCATTCTTGTTCTCCGACTGGTTGCTGGCTGTTAACATATTTTCAGTTTTCAGTGGCTTCCATTGATGAGTCTGGTTTATTCTCGGCGCTCTTGTCCTTCCTGGGATTTATCTTCGCAACATTGCTATTTGCTGACCTAGTATCTATTGTGGTATTTGTTATTTTCTTTTACAGTATTTTACAGTTATTTTACAGTACCGGTACCGATATTGGGAAACGGATGCCCAATGTGTCGCTTAAACAACTGTTCAAGATTTTTTAAATTACTCCTACGCGGAACAATTACATCTGGCCAAAAATTACCAATTACACAGTTTTGTATTTATTATTAAATTTGCTATGGACCTTTCCCCGAGCATCGACTTCCTTGTTTACTTTGTGACATCGGCCAATCAGCAAGATGCAAAAAGTGACGTAACAATGCCCCCTTTTCGCATTCGCTCAGACACTTTTCTCACTCAGACAGATTTTCAAGCGCGGTTGTAAACATTACCTCGTTTTCGCGTTTTTGAACTCCATTCGTTAGTTTTCAGTTGTGTTTCGGAAACTTAAATATAAATCAGATAATTCAATGATCACTCTGTCTTCCTAGGAGTTTTAATTAAATGCAGTAATAAAAATTAGTTTTGGAAATAGCTGTGATAGACTAGCCTGAAATGCTTTACCGGTACTTTTAAAAAACAAATCGTTGTATGCGATGAATCATAATGATGGTTCAAAACACCTACTCCATTTTACAAGCGCCAACTCGCAAAAGCACTCCTAAAATAGCCTCGGAAATTTTGCAATGGTAAAGTATAGGAAGAATTTTCCGGGGGTTAAAGGTCGGGGAAAGGTCCATTGGTCGCGAGATTTTTACAAAATTTAATTTTTAACAAACTTGGGTCTTTCGAGAAGGAATTAAATTTCACACCGTGATAACGTTTTTCTTGCACTATATGCGCTATTGTCATTTGCATATCATGCTCAAAGGAGGTATGTATATAAATTCGAAACGTCAGCAAATTACATCGTTTTTATTACATCTGTTGCACTTCATTTATCCTCCATATGAATATACCTGGTTACAAACATACGCTATCATACTGCCGAATACAAATCAACAGTTCTAAGTTATTTTTGAAATGTTTGCGCGACGGATCAAATACCACTTTTGGATTAACGTTAGGTTATGGCTGACTAAACATTGTTATGGGTGGAACAAGAAAGTCAAGCAATGACAGATGTATTATTTTTTTTAAATACTGCCAAATATTCATTACAAAACAAATACGCAAGGAAGTCAAGACTCGGAGACCCATTTTGTTAATTTTATGCCAGATGTAATTTTTCCGCGTAGGATTAATTTAAATAGAAAAATTCTGTAACTGTTTCTTTGGCAGTCAGTTAGTAGCAGGGTTACCATATAGGCAAGATTGCCAATTTTGGCTTTTTCAAACAGAATTTCCGTTTGGCTTTTTGGCGTTTTTTTTGGCTTTTTTCAAGTCTATTCTAGTGTCTATTATCAAAATCATATGAAATACAATATATAGTGTGTAACAACGTACTTAGCTACTTAACATTAGGATTTCCTGGAGCATCAATTTCCTTGTTTGTTACATTAACTCTTAACCATATCCTACCCAATAAGAAATAATTGCAGTTTCTGCAGCTGCTCAGACAGATGTTCAAGCAGGGTTGTAAACATTGCTTCGTTTTTAATGTTTTGCCTATTTGTCAGTTTTACATTCTGTTTCCAAAAAATAGTTGTATAACTTAATTTTCATTATGCCTGATACCGGTATGGTTTATGTGAGCTTTAGTTTAATTCTGCAATTGCAGTAACAATGTGATTAACTACGAGCGCTTAAAATCTGACAAATCATGGGGCTTTTGTACTTAGTATCACATAATTCTGGTGCAAATTTACAAACCAACAGCAGAGATGAACCATTTGTTTGCCAACAATGCCGGAAAAACTTAAAATCAAAGTGGCATTTAAACGTGCATATGAGAAATCATACTGGTGAAAATCCTTATATATGTAAACAATGTGGGAAGCAGTGTTAACTCTTAAACGAATTGTGAGTGCGAAAGTGCTTATGCCGATTTCAACAAGTTAGTTGCACAAGCTTTTGTTTTCACTCATTTAAAACAGCATAGATACTCAAAAAGCTCTCCTTTCGTTAATATTATGAATTAAAGAGGAGCATTTCCGTTAACGGAATTTCGTTTAAATTCTTGTTCAAAACAAGGGAACTCATGGGTAAAGGACACCTGCTAACCCCTGTCGTGAACTTCACGCAATCTATCTCCTGTGTCAGTTGCTAACTCTCGTGAACAGCAAAGGCTTTCGCATTTGTGTTACTCCTTCCATCTAACAGACAACGATTGGTACATGCAAGCTGGAATCCATATTAGTTACAGATTGTATAATTTGAACACAGAAATGCCATGTAAGTTCAGCATTCATAAATAGCACTCTCTGTAATGCTGCAGACCTAGTATGAAATATTCGCATTCCAATTTCACTTGCGACGCTTCCATATATCACACTTACACTAATAGATGACAATTACAAGATGACACCAAAGAGTTTTCTTTTGCGAAAGTACACGAAATACGAGAATATAAAAAATAAACGAATGTTATGATAGTGGTTCCCAAATAATTTGGAGTGTTTCGCGAAATATCAATCCATTCGATAAATAATTTTTATTCGACCTGATGAAACGTCGAAATCCTGGGAATTAATGTTGAACGAGAAGTACGATTCCGATTCGCATTCTCAGATATGTCTCTTCATGTGCACAAATCTCACATACATCATCGGTTATTTGTGCATGGAATGTAAAACTCTGCTGCGTTTTCGTTCATTATTACTGGTTAGTAATTACAATTGGCGTTTCGCCCTCTAAACGCACTGCCTAGTATTCCAACATCTGGTTTCAAAGACGCTGCCGAGCATTTTTGCGGAGAAGCGGGATCTGTGTGCTTGTACAATAATCATATTATATACAAGAATTTTGTTAATGCAAAAGCTTTATCTTCCATGTCTGCAAAACATAGGTTAGAATTCCAGCAAATATCATTATGTTATGCAAAATTGTGTTGAAAAGGTACTAGTACGCAACTTATTTGTCAATTTTATACTCGCTCGAAAATATTTGTCAACTTTGAATTTTTGCCCTTCAAAATCGAAAAAAGTGCTATTTCGCAGTCCCTAAAAAAAGTTATTTTTTGCAGAAAAGTGCGCTAATAGTGAACACTGGTGGGAAGTGTTTTTCACAACCATTTAATTTAAAAGTGCATAAGCGAACTCATACTGGAGAAAAACCATACGTTTGTAAACAATGTGGAAAGTGTTTTTCACGATTATCTAATTTACAAGTGCATGAGCGAACTCACACTGGAGAGAAACCTTATGTTTGTGAACTATGTGGTGAAGGTTTTGTACAGTCCTCTGATTTACTTCGGCATGAGCGCACTCACGCTGGAGAGAAACCTTATGTTTGTGAACTATGTGGTGAAGGTTTTGTAAAGTCATATGACTTACATAGGCATGAGCGAATTTATACTGGTGAGAAGCCTTATGTTTGCGAACAATGTGGAAAGGGTTTCTCACAATTATCTGATTTATATGCACATGCGCGAAGTCATACTGGAACGAAACCTTATGTTTGTAAAGAATGTGGGAAGGTTTTTTCGTGTCCGTCTAGTTTACATGTGCATGAGCGAACTCACACCGGAGAGACCCCTTATATTTGTAAACAATGCGGAAAGTGTTTTATGCGATTATCATGTTTACATGGGCATGGGCTCAACTCATTCCAGTGAAAAACCTTATGTCTGTAAGCAATGTGGCAAGAGATTTTCTTACTTATCCAGTTTACATAGGCATAAGCAAACAAACGTATTTGTAAACGATTTGGCAGTTGAATTTTGTTAATTTACTTAGGCATGAGCGAACAGATGAGAAATTGCAAGTTTGTAAGCCATGTAGTAAAAGTTACTGTCAAGACAGACCAATTTACTGATTCACACTAGAATAGAGAAAACAAGATGTATATGAATGTATTTGGGAGGGTTTCCGCCCGAAAAAGGTTCTTATACAGATATTATAACAACCCAATGGGAAAAACCAACCCACTTAACCCACAATGGGAAAAACCAGGTTTTCATGTATATGATTGTAATATCTCAAGCTTGAAAGGCTACTATACTGTTTGTGTATTATACATATTATTATTATTACATTGCTGCCGAACTTAGAGAGTAGCTCATCGTGTTTTATACCCATTTTGGTTTCGTCATTTGGTATATATGTGATTTTTTTTACCATGGTGGATTTCAAGATGAAATAGTTGCCATAACTATTATTAACACCTGAATATAATAATATTCTTAAGTTTTGTTGTGAATACAACAGTAATTTAAATAAATTTTATTTCAGTGCCAAAGGTTAGTTTTTCTGCGTAGGATTGATTTAAATAAAAAAAATGTTTACTGCTGCAAAGGTCACCCGTTGGGTAATTCCATCTGGCCCGCCCAATGCATAACCAAGGTAACTAAATGCTGATGTTTCAGCTAAAGATAGCTCTAGGAATTTGTTGAGATTTGCGATTTACTTTCGGCATGAGCTCATTGTTTCCATTTTTGCTTTTGTAACACTGTAAATAGTGTTCATAAAATTTAACTTCATACGTCACACTTACATGGCCCGCCAGTCTAGGTCATCCAAGGGAAACAATGCAGGCAGCCCTAACCCCAGCATTATTTACGCAAGGTGTAATGACCAAGTTTGAGCACAGTAGTGTTGTGATTTTATTGTTTGTGCTCACAAGTTCGAAACAGAATTGGTAAAAACTATATTTCATTGTCTTTTTAAGTAACCTAAATTCTATTTTACAATACAGGATTGCCTCTTTTTACTATGCACGGATCATGTCATATCTATTAATGCCATAATACAAGATGGATTAATTCGCTGTGACCTTAACGTATAAAAATCAGAAGATCTATTTATCAACTTAAAAAAAAAAACTGCGATTTTGCAGTCTCTAAAAAATGCGGAAGTGCCTCACAGCTCTGTGTGCTTATAGTAAACATCTTAGTAATTTGAATATAACTGATTACTACACGGTATGCAAATTTGCCTATAACTAATTGCTCTTCCCTTAAATTCACTTGCTAGAAGAGCATGAGTTAAATTTCACTGATGTATCGAATAGAAAGACAAGAAATTCTTCAGCTCTATAACGTGAAATGTATATTATAGTTTTTTATTATATTTTATGACGATGGTAAGAGCAAAAAATGCAAAAAAATTCTTGTAAATTTATATATCTGCAGTATGGAAAATTATATCAATAATGTAAATTTGAATGAAAATATAACTAACATTGAGGGAACTAGTCAGCATACCAACTCTGAGGAGAATTGTGGTAAAACTTCTTTACAAAGTGGTGCTGAAGAATGCAGAGAGAGAGGCCCGGCTGATAAAATTAAAATACTGCATAATTGTGAGCAAATCAACACAACCACTAAACTGGATGTGAAATTACAAACCCAGTCACTTGTTCATACCAACATCACATCAGGATCTAATTTACAAACCAACAATAGAGGTAAACCATTTATCTGTCAGCGATGTGGAAAGAGCTTCAAAGTGAAGCAGAATGTAGACAGGCATATGAAAAGTCATACCGAAGAGAAATCCTATAATTGTAAACTATGTGGGAAGTGTTTTTTACGATTATCCCATCTAAAAGCTCATGAACGAACTCACACTGGAGAAAAACCTTATGCCTGTCAACAATGTGAAAAGCGTTTTAAAAAAATATCTCATTTAAGTGAGCATGAGCTAATTCACACTGGAGAGAAACCACATATTTGTAAACAATGTGGAAAAGATTTTTCACGATTATCTAATTTACGAGCGCATGAGCGAACCCATACTGGAGAGAAACCATATATTTGTAAACTATGTGGGAAGTGTTTTTCACGATCATCCCATCTGAAAGGGCATGGACGAACTCACACAGGAGATAAACCGTACGTTTGTGGACTATGTAGCAAGGGATTTTCACGAATGGATCATCTAAAAGGGCATGAGCGAACTCACACTGGAGAAAAACCTTATGCTTGTCAACAATGTGAAAAACAATTCTCAAATTTAGGTAGTTTACGTAATCACAAGCAAACTCACACATGAGAAAAATCTTATGCTAGTAAACAATGTGGAAAGGGTTTTTCGCGGAAATTTCATTTACTCATACTGAAGAGAAAGAAACCTTGTTTGTAGACTATGTGAGTGGTGGAAAATTCTGATGACGTCATAGCTCACAAAAACGAGCCCCATAAAGCTTACAGGAATATTTGAAATTAATAAAAGATGGTCTTTTAGAACAAATATTTTTAACCACTGAAAATTTCAAAGTAATTGGTTCAGTAATCAAAGAGAAAAACGTGTCAAAGAACAAGGACAATGACAGCAACATAATATTGAAACGATCCATAGGTCCACGAGCGTGTCCAATAACAATCACAATATACCGCAACGAAACCAAAAATATGAGAAAACTGTATGTAAGCTCTTGCTGCGTTTCAAATGTTTCCATTTATTGAATTTTATTTTTAAATGAAGACGGGTTCTATATTACGAACTGAATTGGGTACAAAGTACAAACAGTTATATAACCAAACCTAAAAAGCCAGACAACTATATAGCAGTTAGCCCTTTTTACACCATATATTAATTCAAAATTGTATATTGCAGTGTTAACGCTGCGTTGTCTGGATGTGGCTAGGCTTTCAGATTAAAATGCAAAAAATGGCAAGTTTATAATGCGGTATTCTGAGTGTTAACAATAAGTGCTCTGGGACTGTAAATGGTGAAATATAATACTGCAATAGCACACACGACACAGAAATATTGTATCTCCCTTTTTCAGTCATGTATTATCACAAATTCAAATCCTTATTATAGAGTATGATACCGATGCTGTATTTCATCTAGGCTTGACCGATATCACTTTTCGACGCCGTTACCGATATATCGGCAAACTAGTGGCCGATAACCGATATTATTATAAATCATATTTTGAGCCACAAAATGGGCTTTTATTATGTACCTTGTAAGTCTGTAAGTTCATTTTGATATTTATTATGATTGCAGTGAGACTTTTATTTAACAAACTCCAGTTAATGCTTGAACAAATTTTATTCTTTTCCTGCGACTTCAATATCAGTCTAGCCTTTTCCAGGAAAAAGAATTGTTTATCTGACGTTTTTAAATATAACTGTGGCCGTGGGAATATTGGAAAATTATAAATTGATATATTTTGAATGGAATCGTGATATTGATAAATTACTTCGATATTGTGACAGTATATGTGCAGTTACATGTGAAACTTTTAATACCTATGTTTCTAGAGACTCTTAATACCTTATTCAGTCAATTATAATGAATTCACGTGGAGAGACAAGTTGATGATTTAACAATTTGATTGAGTAACATTAGAATTTTTTTATATTCATCTACTTTTTATGCATGGCAACAGTCAGTTTTGCAAAATGTGTATGGAAAAGTAATGAAAACTTTTCATCAAGAGCCAGCTTGGAAAAGCATATGTTTTTGCACATTCACAGTGAAAATTGTTATGAAACTGTTATGAGCGATCACTTAATTTGCATGTGCATGAGCGAACTCAACTGGAGAAAGTCCTCATGTTTGTAAATAATGTGATTATTTAATTTGCATGTGCACAAGCGAATTCGTACTGGAGAAAAACCTCATGTTTGTAAACAATGTGAAGCGCATACGCGAACTCATACTGGAGAGAAAGCTCATGTATGCAAACGTTGTAGCATTTACTACTTTACAAGTGCATGAGCGATCTCATACAGGAGAAAAGCCTCATGATGTAAACATTGTGGAAAGGGTTTTTCGCAATTGGGCCCTTTACAAATGCAACTCAAACACCCAAAGCCAGGGGTGTGCATCCTTTAATACATTAGGGACAGATAGAATTTGCATTTTTGAATCTTGTGGGGGCTAATTATGTGCAAAAGGATTGATTTTCGCCGTTGAACGGTCGTGAATGATTATTTTTGGCCATCGAGGACATTTATTGTAAGCATAATATACCCCTAAAATGAAGCATGTCAGAGCAGTCTGTTGTCTGTTTTTCAAATTGTTTGGGCCGCGGACCCCTAGTTGTGAATCTTATTTTTGATGGACCCTCATCCTATGCCGTATCAATTTCTGTGCCTAACCAATAAGGAATGTTTCATTTACAACACAACAGTTCTCGTAGCAATTTGTGACGGCAAACTCGTACATCTCAACCTGTATTGTGTTATTATATTGGTAAGAGCTGAAAATGCAGTCTTGCAAAAGACATTAAAAGGGTCTTAATAATGCAATCCCAGATAACCAGGGAATAATAAAACAAAACTCCACAAAACAATATCATTGCTATTTAATATATCCTTTTATCAAACTAAACACATAAATACCCATTTACAATCAAACAGGGACATGGGATTGGATCCACAAATACAATTGTGAAAAAATAGAAGAAAATACATAATGCGTTACCATTCACTCACTTGCATCCTTGGGCAGGTTTTAAAAAAATATTCAGTTGAGCACTTTATTCACATAGACTTTCAAAGGTGAAATGCTGTTTGAAATGTATTCTCTGTGTAAAGCCCTTTCCATATTGTTTATAAGTCGGAATAGAAGTTTGTCTTACATTTGAGGACTCTCCACATCATTTTCAAGCATGTTTCTTCCCATAATGAGTTCGATAATGCTTATGTAATCGCCTAGTATGAGTTGGCTCATGTCTATTTAAATGAGTTAATCGTGAAAAACATTTTCCACATTCTTTACAAATAAAAGGTTTCTCTCCAGTATGAGTTCGCTCATGTGCGTGTAAATTCGATAAATCTGAAAAACTCCTTTCACATTGCGTACAGGCATAAGGTTTTACTCCAGTATGAGTTCGCTCATGTCGTTGTAAATTACAAAATTGTGAAAAACCTTTTTCACATTTACTACAAATGTAAGGTTTCTCCCCAGTATGAGTCCTCATATGCACATTTAATTTATATCCCCTTTTCAAGTTCTTTCCACACTGCGGGCAAATAAATCGTTCATCTCTACAGTTGGTTTTTAAATTTCGCATTGGCTTTGTGTTAGTATGAACATGTGACAGGGTTTCCAACTTCCCGTCCAATTTGGGGGTCGGACCAATTTGTTCACAATTTTTGGATTTTCCAGATTCATCAGATTTCTCTTCGTCGCCAGTTTTACTTGTGATATTCTCAGAGTTGGTAGGCTGACTAGTTCCCAGTATGTTGTCAGTTGCATGTTTGTTTAAATCTCCAGTTCCATTATAATTTTCAGCGTGAGTGTGCGAAAACATATGCTTTTCAAAACTGGGTCCCGTTGAAAAGTGTTCATTACAGATGAGGCAGTGAAATATGTCTTCGGTGGATTCTATGATTACGATATAATTTTCCATAATTAACCAAGAATATCTAAAATAAAAGCATTGTTTTTTATTTAGGCTTTGCAATCAATAAAAAAGGATTAGGGTTTACATATTTATTCCGGTGGAGAAGAAAGTCAATAAGACAGCCTAATCATATGGCGAAACACATGTTGAGTCAGTAATCCTAGAAACATGGTGCAGGGCTGAGAACGTATGTTGGGGGTCCTTATGATGCCAAATGATGGTAATACTTTTCAATGGTATTTGTAATTTCTTATAATGGCAATACTTTGTATTATTCGTCTATTAATTACTATGACAAATAATTGTGCTCTTGCATTTTGATGGCTGTTGTATAGTAACAATACCGTCATCAAATTATAAGCACCTACGGGGTTCGTTCGGATGCCCTATTGAAAGGGAATACATTAGAATAAAGTGAACAAACTGCAATTTTCAACTACCAACATTTTTTGGAGACCTCTATTTAGGGATGGGCAATATAGAATACCGAATCCGGATGATCTAGGATCCGATAACAGGATTCGGTTTCCGTCTCTTCGGCGTCAATTTTGTATTTCCTGTTTCTAATTTATTAATCAGAGATGAGCGTTTTCTCTCGCGTGTTAATCTCTTGTTTAATTATACTTGCGTTTTCTTGTGGAGAACCCGCAAAATCGGTGAACATGAAATACGATAATCTCACCCAGCGTATTCATAACAAGACGACGGCGATAAACACATCACGGGGAAGAGTCATTATTGTACCATTTCTGCGTTTTCCGCTTGACTATCTAGTTGGGCGTATAATAATAATCACTTGTTCCAACTCGTGACATTCCGATAAACTGACTGCAACAATGTTTAATTTTTACAGACGTGCCTTGCTTCAATTTACATTAAATGATTATCGCGACCTGCAAGTTTTCCCAAAAAAATGATTGATGGGGCACAACCTGAACTCAGGTTGTGTACCAGGTTAGGGTTCAGGTTATGCGACATCTTGGTGCGCATATTTCAGGAGTACCATTTCATGTAAACCAAAATCCAGGTGTTAAATGTTACTTGCGATTAATTTAGATCAAATATTATTAACGAATAATTTTATTATACCATTTTCCGAAATACAAAGTTATGTCGCAAACCGCGAAAATCTCTCACATTTAAATTTCACTCTCAAAAGATTACTTATTTTTCAGTCCGGTTTGATAGAGTGTCTGTGGTATTTAAGTCGCCGATAAATTTGAAAAAAGTTGCCGCATCTGGCGAAGATAGTGACGTATTGAGTTTGAGTAGGGCCAAGTCTGGGTAGATAATGATATTTAACGATAATCATAGAAAAAGAATTCTTCTTTAGATGTTATTACCTAATAAATAAGTACGAAATCAAGTTTACTGGAACTCTTGCTCGCACAGAATAAAACGTTGATTTCAATTGATAGTGGTTAAATTCAATATTTTACAACGGCCGCATAGGTTGCAGTGGCCACACGCTGGTCCTGCATCTAATTAATTCTCAGTGGGTATGTTTCGGTACACTCGGCAGACTAACATTGATAAAAAAATAATAATTCAACGCCGTTTCATATCTATTTTTGTATTTAACTGGGTACTATTAAAGTGTCTAAAGCGTGTCTTAATTTAGCATATCAGTATTTAGGGATTACATACATTTGGAACAATTGAAAACAAAAAGTTTTGTAATATTCTTAAATTTTATTGTCCTGGGAAATGCCTGTTTAGTATCAAATAGAATCCAATGTTCAGGACAATTCCAAATAAATAATACATTTATAGTAATACATTTACAATTTTTTAACATCAAAATCCAGCAATGTGAAAATTTCCACTATTTGAATAAGTATGAAAATAGAATAGGATTTGGTATTCTGGATTCGATTTAACTATTCTGGAATATTCTAGAATAGTAAATTATTCTATATTGCCCATCCCTACCTCTGATGAATTTTTTGACCAGGTCATGAATTATGCAAAAGGTTTCTCTACGGTATGAGTTAGCTCATGTGCACGTAAATTTGATAAATCTGAAAAACTCTTTTGACATTGTGTACAGGCATAAGGTTTTACTCCAGTATGAGTTCGTTCATGCCGTCGTAAACTACATAAATGTGAAAAACACTTTTCACATTGTTCACAAATATAAGGTTTCACCCCAGTATGATGAGTCCTTATATGCACATGTAATTTATATCCCCTTTCCAAGTTTATTCCACACTGCGGGCAAATAAATCGTTCATTTCCATGGTTGGTCTTAGTATGAGTTTGCTCATGTCTATTTAAATGAGTTAATCGTGAATAACATTTTCCACATTCTTTACAAATAAAAGGTTTCTCTCCTATATGAGTTCGCTCGTGCGCATGTAAATTCGATAAATCTGAAAAACTTCTTTCACATTGTGTACAGGCATAAGGTTTTACTCCAGTATGAGTTCGTTCATGCCGTTGTAAACTGGATAATTGTGAAAAACCCTTTTCACATTTACTACAGATATAAGGTTTTTCCCCAGTATGAGTCCTCATATGCACATTTAATCGATATCCCCTTCCACACTTCTTTCCACACTGTGGACAAATAAATCGTTCATCTCCACGGTTGGTTGGTGAATTTGGCACTGGCTCTACATTATCAGTATGAACAAGTGATAGGGTAGAGGACTTCCTGCCAATTTGTCCACAATTTACCGATTTTCCAGCTTCATCACATCCATTTTTTCGATGTTGTCCGAGAACATCAGGTTTCTCTCCACCACCAGTTTGTGAAATTGTCTGAGTCTGTAGGCTGACTAGTTTCCAGTATGTTGTCAGTTGCATGTTTGTTTAAATCTCCAGTTCCATTATAATTTTCAGCATGAGTGTGCGAAAACATATGCTTTTCAAAACTGGGTCCCGTTGAAAAGTGTTCATTACAGATGAGGCAGTGAAATATGTTTTCGGTGGATTCTATGATTACGATATAATTTTCCATAATTAACCAAGAATATCTAAAAAAAAGCATTGTTTTTTATTTAGGCTTTGCAATCAATAACAAATGATTAGGATTTACATATTTATTCCGGTGGAGAGGAAAGTCAATAGGACGGTTTAATCATATGGCGAAACACAAGTTGAGTCAGTAATCCTAGAAACATGGTGCAGGGCTGAGAAAGTATGTTGGGTGGGGGTCCTTATGATGGTAATTGTAATTTCTTATAATGGCAATACTTTGTATTATCCGTCTATTAATTACTGACAAATATTTGTGCTCTTGGCGCACAACCTGAACTCAGGTTAGGGTTCAGGTTTTGCGACATCTTGGTGCGCATATTTCAGGAGTACCATTTCCCATTTCATGTAAACCAAAATCCAGGTGTTAAATGTTACTTGCGATTAATTTAGATCAAATATTATTAACGAATAATTTTATTATACCATTTTCCGAAATACAAAGTTATGTCGCAAACCGCGAAAATCTCTCCCATTTAAATTTCACTCTCAAAAAGATTACTTATTTTTCAGTCCGGTTTGATCGAGTGTCTGTGGTATTTAAGTCGCCGATAAATTTAAAAAAAGTTGCCGCATCTGGCGAAGATAGTGACGTATCGAGTTTGAGTAGATAATGATATTTAACGATAATCATAGAAAATGAATTCTTCTTTAGATGTTATTACCTAATAACTAAGTACGAAATCGAGTTTACGGGAACTCTTGCTCGCACAGAATAAAACGTTGATTTCAATTGATAGTGGTTAAATTCAATATTTTACAACGGCCGCATAGGTTGCAGTGGCCACACGCTGGTCCTGCATCTAATTAATTCTCAGCAGGTGTGTTTCAGTACACTCGGCAGACTAAATAATTCAACGCCGTTTCATATCTATTTTTGTATTTAACCAGGTACTATTAAAGTGTCTAAAGCGTGTCTTAATTTAGCATATCAGTATTTAGGGATTACATACATAAATTTTATTGTCCTGGGAAATGCCTGTTTAGTATCAAATAGAATCCAATGTTCAGGACAATTCCAAATAAATAACACATTTATAGTAATACATTTACAATTTTTCAACATCAAAATCCAGCAATGTGAAAATTTTCACTATTTGAATAAGTATGAAAATAGAATAGGATTTGGTATTCTGGATTCGATTTAACTATTCTGAAATATTCTAGAATAGTAAATTATTCTATATTGCCCATCCCTACCTCTGATGAATTTTTTGACCAGATCATGCAGGCATGGATTTTTTTAACCCTGAAGTCATGAATTATGCAAAAGGTTTCTCTCCGGTATGAGTTAGCTCATGTGCACGTAAATTTGATAAATCTGAAAAACTCTTTTCACATTGTGTACAGGCATAAGGTTTTACTCCAGTATGAGTTCGTTCATGCCGTCGTAAACTACATAAATGTGAAAAACACTTTTCACATTGTTCACAAATATAAGGTTTCACCCCAGTATGATGAGTCCTTATATGCACATGTAATTTATATCCCCTTTCCAAGTTTATTCCACACTGCGGGCAAATAAATCGTTCATCTCCATGGTTGGTCTTAGTATGAGTTTGCTCATGTCTATTTAAATGAGTTAATCGTGAATAACATTTTCCACATTCTTTACAAATAAAAGGTTTCTCTCCTATATGAGTTCGCTCGTGCGCATGTAAATTCGATAAATCTGAAAAACTTCTTTCACATTGCGTACAGGCATAAGGTTTTACTCCAGTATGAGTTCGTTCATGTCGTTGTAAACTGGATAATTGTGAAAAACCCTTTTCACATTTACTACAGATATAAGGTTTTTCCCCAGTATGAGTCCTCATATGCACATTTAATCGATATCCCCTTCCACACTTCTTTCCACACTGTGGGCAAATAAATCGTTCATCTCTGTGGTTGGTTCCTAAATTTGACACTGGCTTTACCTTTTTAGTATCAACAAGTGATAGGGTGTCCAACTTCCCGTCCAATTTGGGGGTCGAACCAATTTGTTCACAATTTTTGGATTTTCCAGATTCATCAGATTTCTCTTCGTCGCCAGTTTTACTTGTGATATTCTCAGAGTTGGTAGGCCGACTAGTTCCCAGTATGTTGTCAGTTGCATGTTTGTTTAAATCTCCAATTCCATTATAATTTTCAGCGTGAGTGTGCAAAAACATATGCTTTTCAAAACTGGGTCCCGTTGAAAAGTGTTCATTACAGATGAGGCAGTGAAATATGTCTTCGGTGGATTCTATGATTACGATATAATTTTCCATAATTAACCAAGAATATCTAAAAAAAAGCATTGTTTTTTATTTAGGCTTTGCAATCAATAACAAATGATTAGGATTTACATATTTATTCCGGTGGAGAAGAAAGTCAATAAGACAGCCTAATCATATGGCGAAACACATGTTGAGTCAGTAATCCTAGAAACATGGTGCAGGGCTGAGAACGTATGTTGGGGGTCCTTATGATGGTAATACTTTTCAATAGTATTTGTAATTTATTATAATGGCAATACTTTGTATTATCCGTCTATTAATTACTGTAACAAATAATTGTGCTCTTGCATTTTGATGGCTGTTGTATAGTAACAATACCGTCATCAAATAAGGAGCACCTACCGGGTTCGTTCGGATGCCCTATTGAAATGAAATACATTAGAATAAAGTGAACAACTGCAATTTTCAACTTCCAACAGTTTTTGGAGACCTTTATTTAGGGATGGGCAATATAGAATACCGAATCCGGATGATCTAGGATCCGATAACAGGATTCGGTTTCCGTCTCTTCGGCGTCAATTTTGTATTTCCTGTTTCTAATTTATTAATCAAAGATGAGCGGTTTCTCTCGCGCGGAAATCTCTTGTTTAATTATACTTGCGTTTTCTCGTGAAGAACCCGCAAAATCGGTGAACATGAAATACGATAATCTCACCCAGCGTATTCATAACAAGACGACGGCGACGCGGGGAAGAGTCATTATTGTACCATTTCTGCGTTTTCCGCTTGACTATCTAGTTGGCGTATAATAATAATTACTTGTTCCAACTCGTGACATTCCGATAAACTGACTGCAACAATGTTTAATTTTTACAGACGTGCCTTGCTTCAATTTACATTAAATTATTTTCGCGCCTGCAAGTTTTCCCTAAAAATGATTCATGATATGCGCACCAAGATGGGCACAACCTGAACTCAGGTTGTGTACCAGGTTAGGGTTCAGGTTATGCGACATCTTGGTGCGCATATTTCAGGAGTACCATTTCATGTAAACCAAAATCCAGGTGTTAAATGTTACTTATTAATTTAGATCAATAATATTATTAATAATTTTATTATAATTTTTATTATACCATTTTCCGAAATACAAAGTTATGTCGCAAACCGCAAAAATCTCTCACATTTAAATTTCACTCTCAAAAGATTACTTATTTTTCAGTCCGGTTTGATAGAGTGTCTGTGGTATTTAAGTCGCCGAAATTTGAAAAAAGTTGCCGCATCTGGCGAAGATAGTGACGTATTGAGTTTGAGTAGGGCCAAGTCTGGGTAGATAATGATATTTAACGATAATCATAGAAAATGAATTCTTCTTTAATGTTATTACCTAATAACTAAGTACGAAATCAAGTTTACGGGAACTCTTGCTCGCACAGAATAAAACGTTGATTTCAATTGATAGTGGTTAAATTCAATATTTTACAACGGCCGCATAGGTTGCAGTGGCCACACGCTGGTCCTTCATCTAATTAATTCTCAGTGGGTATGTTTTGGTACACTCGGCAGACTAACATTGATAAAAAAATAATATTCAACGCCGTTTCATATCTATTTTTGTATTTAACCGGTACTATTAAAGTGTCTAAAGCGTGTCTTAATTTAGCATATTAGGGATTACATACATTTGGAACAATTGAAAACAAAAGTTTTGTAATATTCTTAAATTTTATTGTCCTGGGAAATGCCTGTTTAGTATCAAATAGAATCCAATGTTCAGGACAATTCCAAATAAATAATACATTTATAGTAATACATTTACAATTTTTTAACATCAAAATCCAGCAATGTGAAATTTCCACTATTTGAATAAGTATGAAAATAGAATAGGATTTGGTATTCTGGATTCGATTTAACTATTCTGGAATATTCTAGAATAGTAAATTATTCTATATTGCCCATCCCTACCTCTGATGAATTTTTTGACCAGATCATGCAGGCATGGATTTTTTTAACCCTGAAGTCATGAATTATGCAAAAGGTTTCTCTCCGGTATGAGTTAGTTCATGTGCACGTAAATTTGATAAATCTGAAAAACTCTTTTCACATTGTGTACAGGCATAAGGTTTTACTCCAGTATGAGTTCGTTCATGCCGTCGTAAACTACATAAATGTGAAAAACACTTTTCACATTGTTCACAAATATAAGGTTTCACCCCAGTATGATGAGTCCTTATATGCACATGTAATTTATATCCCCTTTCCAAGTTTATTCCACACTTCGGGCAAATAAATCGTTCATCTCCATGGTTGGTCTTAGTATGAGTTTGCTCATGTCTATTTAAATGAGTTAATCGTGAATAACATTTTCCACATTCTTTACAAATAAAAGGTTTCTCTCCTATATGAGTTCGTTCGTGCGCATGTAAATTCGATAAATCTGAAAAACTTCTTTCACATTGCGTACAGGCATAAGGTTTTACTCCAGTATGAGTTCGTTCATGCCGTTGTAAACTGGATAATTGTGAAAAACCCTTTTCACATTTACTACAGATATAAGGTTTTTCCCCAGTATGAGTCCTCATATGCACATTTAATCGATATCCCTTCCACACTTCTTTCCACACTGTGGACAAATAAATCGTTCATCTCCACGGTTGGTTGGTGAATTTGGCACTGGCTTTACATTATCAGTATGAACATGTGATAATAGGGTGTCCAACTTCCTGCCAATTTGTCCATAATTTTCAGATTTTCCAGCTTCATCACATCCACTTTCTCGTCCAAGAACATCAGGTTTCTCTCCACCACCAGTTTGTAAAGAAGATTTGCTTGTGATATTGTCAGTGTCTGTAGGCTGACTAGTTTCCAGTATGTTGTCAGTTGCATGTCTGTTTAAATCTCCAGTTCCATTATAATTTTTGGCGTGAGTGTGCGAAAACATATGCTTTTCAAAACTGGGTCCCGTTGAAAAGTGTTCATTACAGATGAGGCAGTGAAATATGTCTTCGGTGGATTCTATGATTACGATATAATTTTCCATAATTAACCAAGAATATCTAAAATAAAAGCATTGTTTTTTATTTAGGCTTTGCAATCAATAAAAAAGGATTAGGATTTACATATTTATTCCGGTGGAGAGGAAAGTCAATAAGACAGCTTAATCATATGACAAACACATGTTGAGTCAGTAATCCTAGAAACATGGTGCAGGGCTGAGAACGTATGTTGGGGGTCCTTATGATGGTAATACTTTTCAATGGTATTTGTAATTTATTATAATGGCAATACTTTGTATTATCCGTCTATTAATTACTGTAACAAATAATTGTGCTCTTATATTTTGATGGCTGTTGTATAGTAACAATACCGTCATCAAATAATAAGCACCTACTGGTTCGTTCGGATGCCCTATTGAAATGGAATACATTAGAATAAAGTGAACAACTGCAATTTTCAACTTCCAACAGTTTTTGGAGACCTCTATTTAGGGATGTGCAATATAGAATACCGAATGATCTAGGATCCGATAACAGGATTCGGTTTCCGTCTCTTCGGCGTCAATTTTGTATTTCCTGTTTCTAATTTATTAATCAAAGATGATCGTTTTCTCTCGCGCGGAAATCTCTTGTTTAAAATTATACTTGCGTTTTCTCGTGAAGAACCCGCAAAATCGATGAACATGAAATACGATAATCTCACCCAGCGTATTCATAACAAGAAAACGGCGATGAACACATCACGGGGAAGAGTCATTATTGTACCATTTCCGCATTTTCCGCTTGACTATCTAGTTGGCGTATAATAATATTTACTTGTTCCAACTTGTGACATTTCGATAAACTGACTGCAACAATGTTTACTTTTTACAGACGTGCCTTGCTTCAAATTACATTAAATGATTTTCGCGACCTGCAAGTTTTCCCAAAAAATGATTGATGGGGCACAACCTGAACTCAGGTTGTGTACCAGGTTAGGGTTCAGGTTATGCGACATCTTGGTGCGCATTTCATGTAAACCAAAATCCAGGTGTTAAATGTGACTTGCGATTAATTTAGATGAAATATTATTAACGGATAATTTTATTATACCATTTTCCGAAATACAAAGTTATGTCGCAAACCGCGAAAATCTCTCCCATTTAAATTTCACTCTCAAAAGATTACTTATTTTTCAGTCCGGTTTGATCGAGTGTCTGTGGTATTTAAGTCGCCGATAAATTTAAAAAAAGTTGCCGCATCTGGCGAAGATAGTGACGTATTGAGTTTGAGTAGGGCCAAGTCTGGGTAGATAATGATATTTAACGATAATCATAGAAAATGAATTCTTCTTTAGATGTTATTACCTAATAACTAAGTACGAAATCGAGTTTACGGGAACTCTTGCTCGCACAGAATAAAACGTTGATTTCAATTGATAGTGGTTAAATTCAATATTTTACAACGGCCACATAGGTTGCAGTGGCCACACGCTGGTCCTTCATCTAATTAATTCTCAGCGGGTATGTTTCAGTACACTCGGCGGACTAACATTGATAAAAAAATAATAATTCACCGCCGTTTCATATCTATTTTTGTATTTAACCGAGTACTATTAAAGTGTCTAAAGCGTGTCTTAATTTAGCATATCAGTATTTAGGGATTACATACATTTGGAACAATTGAAAACAACAAGTTTTGTAATATTCTTAAATTTATTGTCCTGGAAATGCCTGTTTAGTATCAAATAGAATCCAATGTTCAGGACAATTCCAAATAAATAATACATTTATAGTAATACATTTACAATTTTTTAACATCAAAATACAGCAATGTGAAAATTTCCACTATTTGAATAAGTGTGAAAATAGAATAGGATTTGGTATTCTGGATTCGATTTAACTATTCTGGAATATTCTAGAATAGTAAATTATTCTATATTGCCCATCCCTACCTCTGATGAATTTTTTGACCAGATCATGCAGGCATGGATTTTTTTAACCCTGAAGTCATGAATTATGCAAAAGGTTTCTCTCCGGTATGAGTTAGCTCATGTGCACGTAAATTTGATAAATCTGAAAAACTCTTTTCACATTGTGTACAGGCATAAGGTTTTACTCCAGTATGAGTTCGTTCATGCCGTCGTAAACTACATAAATGTGAAAAACACTTTTCACATTGTTCACAAATATAAGGTTTCACCCCAGTATGATGAGTCCTTATATGCACATGTAATTTATATCCCCTTTCCAAGTTTATTCCACACTGCGGGCAAATAAATCGTTCATCTCCATGGTTGGTCTTAGTATGAGTTTGCTCATGTCTATTTAAATGAGTTAATCGTGAATAACATTTTCCACATTCTTTACAAATAAAAGGTTTCTCTCCTATATGAGTTCGCTCGTGCGCATGTAAATTCGATAAATCTGAAAAACTTCTTTCACATTGTGTACAGGCATAAGGTTTTACTCCAGTATGAGTTCGTTCATGCCGTTGTAAACTGGATAATTGTGAAAAACCCTTTTCACATTTACTACAGATATAAGGTTTTTCCCCAGTATGAGTCCTCATATGCACATTTAATCGATATCCCCTTCCACACTGTGGACAAATAAATCGTTCATCTCCACGGTTGGTTGGTGAATTTGGCACTGGCTCTACATTATCAGTATGAACAAGTGATAGGGTAGAGGACTTCCTGCCAATTTGTCCACAATTTACCGATTTTCCAGCTTCATCACATCCATTTTTTCGATGTTGTCCGAGAACATCAGGTTTCTCTCCACCACCAGTTTGTGGAAAAGATTTTCTTGTGAAATTGTCTGAGTCTGTAGGCTGACTAGTTTCCAGTATGTTGTCAGTTGCATGTTTAGTATCAAATAGAATCCAATGTTCAGGACAATTCCAAATAAATAACACATTTATAGTAATACATTTACAATTTTTCAACATCAAAATCCAGCAATGTGAAAATTTTCACTATTTGAATAAGTATGAAAATAGAATAGGATTTGGTATTCTGGATTCGATTTAACTATTCTGAAATATTCTAGAATAGTAAATTATTCTATATTGCCCATCCCTACCTCTGATGAATTTTTTGACCAGATCATGCAGGCATGGATTTTTTTAACCCTGAAGTCATGAATTATGCAAAAGGTTTCTCTCCGGTATGAGTTAGCTCATGTGCACGTAAATTTGATAAATCTGAAAAACTCTTTTCACATTGTGTACAGGCATAAGGTTTTACTCCAGTATGAGTTTGTTCATGCCGTCGTAAACTACATAAATGTGAAAAACACTTTTCACATTGTTCACAAATATAAGGTTTCACCCCAGTATGATGAGTCCTTATATGCACATGTAATTTATATCCCCTTTCCAAGTTTATTCCACACTGCGGGCAAATAAATCGTTCATCTCCATGGTTGGTCTTAGTATGAGTTTGCTCATGTCTATTTAAATGAGTTAATCGTGAATAACATTTTCCACATTCTTTACAAATAAAAGGTTTCTCTCCTATATGAGTTCGCTCGTGCGCATGTAAATTCGATAAATCTGAAAAACTTCTTTCACATTGCGTACAGGCATAAGGTTTTACTCCAGTATGAGTTCGTTCATGTCGTTGTAAACTGGATAATTGTGAAAAACCCTTTTCACATTTACTACAGATATAAGGTTTTTCCCCAGTATGAGTCCTCATATGCACATTTAATCGATATCCCCTTCCACACTTCTTTCCACACTGTGGGCAAATAAATCGTTCATCTCTGTGATTGGTTCCTAAATTTGACACTGGCTTTACCTTTTTAGTACAAGTGATAGGGTGTCCAACTTCCCGTCCAATTTGGGGGTCGAACCAATTTGTTCACAATTTTTGGATTTTCCAGATTCATCAGATTTCTCTTCGTCGCCAGTTTTACTTGTGATATTCTCAGAGTTGGTAGGCCGACTAGTTCCCAGTATGTTGTCAGTTGCATGTTTGTTTAAATCTCCATTATAATTTTCAGCGTGAGTGTGCGAAAACATATGCTTTTCAAAACTGGGTCCCGTTGAAAAGTGTTCATTACAGATGAGGCAGTGAAATATGTCTTCGGTGGATTCTATGATTACGATATAATTTTCCATAATTAACCAAGAATATCTAAAAAAAGCATTGTTTTTTATTTAGGCTTTGCAATCAATAAAAAAGGATTAGAATTTTCATATTTATTCCGGTGGAAAAGAAAGTCAATAAGATGGCCTAATCATATGGCGAAACACATGTTGAGTCAGTAATCCTAGAAACATGGTGCAGGGCTGAGAACGTATGTTGGGGGTCCTTATGATGGTAATACTTTTCAATAGTATTTGTAATTTATTATAATGGCAATACTTTGTATTATCCGTCTATTAATTACTGTAACAAATAATTGTGCTCTTGCATTTTGATGGCTGTTGTATAGTAACAATACCGTCATCAAATAAGGAGCACCTACCGGGTTCGTTCGGATGCCCTATTGAAATGGAATACATTAGAATAAAGTGAACAACTGCAATTTTCAACTTCCAACAGTTTTTGGAGACCTTTATTTAGGGATGGGCAATATAGAATACCGAATCCGGATGATCGTGGATCCGATAACAGGATTCGGTTTCCGTCTCTTCGGCGTCAATTTTGTATTTCCTGTTTCTAATTTATTAATCAAAGATGAGCGCTTTCTCTCGCGTGGAAATCTCATGTTTAATTATACTTGCAATTTCTCATGAAGAACCCGCAAAATCGGTGAACATGAAATACGATAATCTCACCCAGCGTATTCATAACAAGAAAACGGCGATGAACACATCACGGGGAAGAGTCATTATTGTACCATTTCCGCATTTTCCGCTTGACTATCTAGTTGGCGCATAATAATATTTACTTGTTCCAACTTGTGACATTTCGATAAACTGACTGCAACAATGTTTACTTTTTACAGACGTGCCTTGCTTCAAATTACATTAAATGATTTTCGCGACCTGCAAGTTTTCCCAAAAAATGATTGATGGGGCACAACCTGAACTCAGGTTGTTGTACCAGGTTAGGGTTCAGGTTATGCGACATCTTGGTGCGCATTTCATGTAAACCAAAATCCAGTGTTAAATGTGACTTGCGATTAATTTAGATGAAATATTATTAACGGATAATTTTATTATACCATTTTCCGAATAACAAGTTATTGTCGCAACCGCGAAAATCTCTCCCATTTAAATTTCACTCTCAAAAGATTACTTTATTTTTCAGTTCCGGTTTGATCGAGTGTCCTGTGGTATTTAAGTCGCCGATAAATTTAAAAAAAGTTGCCGCATCTGGCGAAGATAGTGACGTATTGAGTTTGAGTAGGGCCAAGTCTGGTAGATAATGATATTTAACGATAATCATAGAAAATGAATTCTTCTTTAGATGTTATACCTAATAACTAAGTACGAAATCGAGTTTACGGGAACTCTTGCTCGCACAGAATAAAACAGTGGATTTCAATTGATAGTGGTTAAATTCAATATTTTACAACGGCCGCATAGGTTGCGGTGGCCACACGCTGGTCCTTCATCTAATTAATTCTCAGCGGGTATGTTTCAGTACACTCGGCAGACTAACATTGATAAAAAAATAATAATTCACCGCCGTTTCATATCTATTTTTGTATTTAACCGAGTACTATTAAAGTGTCTAAAGCGTGTCTTAATTTAGCATATCAGTGTTTAGGGATTACATACATTTGGAACAATTGAAAACAACAAGTTTTGTAATATTCTTAAATTTTATTGTCCTGAGAAATGCCTGTTTAGTATCAAATAGAATCCAATGTTCAGGACAATTCCAAATAAATAATACATTTATAGTAATACATTTACAATTTTTTAACATCAAAATACAGCAATGTGAAAATTTCCACTATTTGAATAAGTGTGAAAATAGAATAGGATTTGGTATTCTGGATTCGATTTAACTATTCTGGAATATTCTAGAATAGTAAATTATTCTATATTTGCCCATCCCTACCTCTGATGAATTTTTTGACCAGATCATGCAGCATGGATTTTTTAACCCTGAAGTCAATGAATTATGCAAAAGGTTTCTCACCTGTATGAGTTAGCTCATGTGCACGTAAATTTGATAAATCTGAAAAACTCTTTTCACATTGTGTACAGGCATAAGGTTTTACTCCAGTATGAGTTCGTTCATGCCGTCGTAAACTACATAAATGTGAAAAAACACTTTTCACATTGTTCACAAATATAAGGTTTCACCCCAGTATGATGAGTCCTCATATGCACATGTAATTTATATCCCCTTTCCAAGTTTATTCCACACTTCGGGCAAATGAATCGTTCATCTCCATGGTTGGTCTTTGTATGAGTTTGCTCATGTCTATTTAAATGAGTTAATCGTGAATAACATTTTCCACATTCTTTACAAATAAAAGGTTTCTCTCCTATATGAGTTCGCTCGTGCGCATGTAAATTCGATAAATCTGAAAAACTTCTTTCACATTGTGTACAGGCATAAGGTTTTACTCCAGTATGAGTTCGTTCATGCCGTTGTAAACTGGATAATTGTGAAAAACCCTTTTCACATTTACTACAGATATAAGGTTTTTCCCCAGTATGAGTCCTCATATGCACATTTAATCGATATCCACTTCCACACTTCTTTCCACACTGTGGACAAATAAATCGTTCATCTCCACGGTTGGTTGGTGAATTTGGCACTGGCTTTACATTATCAGTATGAACATGTGATAATAGGGTGTCCAACTTCCTGCCAATTTGTCCACAATTTTCAGATTTTCCAGCTTCATCACATCCACATTCTCGTCCAAGAACATCAGGTTTCTCTCCACCACTAGTTTGTAAGAAAGATTTGCTTGTGATATTGTCAGAGTCTGTAGGCTGACTAGTTTCCAGTATGTTGTCAGTTGCATGTCTGTTCAAATGTCTAGTTCCAAGATAATTTTTAGTGTGAATGTGTGAAAACATATGCTTTTCCAAGGCAGGCCCTGATGAAAAGTTAACATCACAGATGAGGCAGGGAAATAAGGGTCCGGTGGATTCTATGATCACGATATATTTTTCCATAGTTAAACAAGAATATCTAAAATAAAATCACTGTTTTTAAGCTTTGCAATCAATAAAAAAAGCATTAGAATTTACATATTCATTCCGGTGGAGAGGACAGCTTAATTATATGACAAACACATGTTGAGTCAGTAATCTTAGAAACATGGTGTAGGGCTGAGAACGTATGTTGGGGTCCTTATGATTTGTAATTTCTTATAATGGAAATACTTTGTATTATCCGTCTATTCTTATGACAAATAATTGCGCTCTTGCATTTTGATGGCTGTTGTATAGTAACAATACTGTCATCAAATAATAAGAAAACGGAAACAGACATGAAATAGGCTATACAAATGAAACTCTAGTGAAATACACAAGATAAAGAGGTACAACACAACAGCGATATGTACAATATAGTCAATTAGTTTATGGCACGTCCTGGTTCCGGTGTGAGAGGATGAAGATCGTGTCTGGGTCGTTAAAATGATATGTTTTCACAATGAATTTCACAAAACACGAAAAGATGTGTTCGTGACATAAACTTGCCAGAAACCGACGTTGGATGTAAACAAGTCTGTACGATTTTCAACTCTCAACAGTTTTTGAAACCCCAATTTCAGAGACCACTAATAAATTTTTTGACCAGAATATAGAGGCATGCGATTTTTTCAACCCTGAAAATATAAATTATGTAAAAGGTTTCTCTTTGGTAAAAGTTCGCTCATGTGCACGTAAACTTGATAAATCGGAAAAACTCCTTTCACATTGTGTACAGGCAAAAGGTTTTACTCCAGTATGAGTTCGTTCATGCCGTCTTAAACTACATAAATGTAAAAAACCCTTTTCACATTGTTTACAAATATAAGGTTTCTCCCCAGTATGAGTCCACATATGCACATTTTTTCTATATCCACTTCCACACTTCTTTCCACACAGTGGACAAATAAATTGTTCATCTCTACGATTGGTTCGTGAATTTGGCACTGTCTTTACCCTTTTAGTGTGAACATGTGATTGGGTGTTCAACTTCTCGCCAATTTGTCCACAATTTTCAGATTTCCCAGCTTCATCACATCTACTTTTTCGACGTTGTCCGAGAACATCAGGTTTTTCTCCACCACTAGTTTGTAAAAAAGATTTGCTTGTGATATTCTCAGAGTTGGTAGGCTGACTAGTTTCCAGTATGTTGTCAGTTGCATGTTTGTTTGAATGTCCAGTTCCACGATAATTTTCAGTGTGAATGTGCAAAAACATATGCTTTTCCAAGGCAGGCCCTGATGAAAAGTTAACATCACAGATGAGGCAGGGAAAGATATATTTTTCCATAGTTAACCAAGAATATCTAAAATAAAATTACTGTTTTTAATCTTTGCAATCAATAAAAAAGGATTAGGATTTACATATTTATTCCGATGGAGAGGAAAGTCAATAAGACAGCTTAATCATAAGACGAACACATGTTAAGTCAGTAATCTTAGAAACATGGTGTAGGGCTGAGAACGTATGTTGGGGTCCTTATGAATTGTAATTTATTATAATGGCAATACTTTGTATTATCCGCCTATTAATTACTGTAACAAATAATTGCGCTCTTGCATTTTGATGGCTGTTGTATAGTAACAATACTGTCATCAAATAATAAGAAAACGGACTCCATTAGAATTAAGTATGTATGTTTATTTATTTATTTGCCTCAGAAATGTAACAATATCTGCATAATAATTAAACAGTAAAACAGAGACGGATTTCCCTGTTCAAGACCTTGCTGGCCTAAGACACAGATGTGCGACATGCACCCCTAACAATTATAACAGCAGTTTAGGACTGCTGCGTTATAATAGGACAACAGACATGAAATAGGCTATACAATTACAACTTTAGTAAAATACACAAGACAAAGAGGTACAACACAACGACGAAATGTACAATATAGTCAGTTAGTTTATGGCACGTCCATGTCCCAGGTTCCGGTGTGAGAGGATTTAGATCGTGTATGGGTCGCTAAAATGATATGTTTTTACAATGAATCTCACCAAACACGTAAATATTTGTTCGTGACATAGAGGCACGCAATTTTTTTTTAACCCTGAAAATATAAATTATGCAAAAGGGGTCTCTCTGGTATGAGTTTGCTTATGTGCACGTAAATTTGATAAATCGGAAAAACTCTTTTCACATTGTGTACAGGCATAAGGTTTTACTCCAGTATGAGTTCGTTCATGCCGTCTTAAACTACATAAATGTAAAAAACCCTTGTCACATTGTTTACAAATATAAGGTTTCACTCCAGTATGAGTCCTCATATGCACATGTAATTTATACCCCCTTTCCAAGTTCTTTCCACACTGCCGACAAATAAATCGTTCATCTCCATGGTTGGTCCTAACATGAATTTGCTCATGTCTATTTAAATGAGTTAATCGTGAAAAACATTTTCCACATTCCTTACAAATAAAAGGTTTCACTCCAGTATGAGTTCGCTCATGTGCACGTAAGTTTGATAAATCTGAAAAACTTCTTTCACATTGTGTACAGGCATAAGGTTTTACTCCAGTATGAGTTCGTTCATGCCGTCGCAAACTAGTTATATGTGAAAAACCCTTTTCACATTTACTGCAGATATAAGGTTTCTCTCCAGTGTGAGTTCGCTCATGGTTACGTAAACTAGTTATATGTGAAAAAGCTTTTTCACATTTACTACAAATATGAGGTTTCTCCCCAGTATGAGTTCTCATATGCACATTTAAACTAGATCCCCTTCCACACTTCTTTCCACACTGTGGGCAAATAAATCGTTCATCTCTATGGTTGGTTCCTAAATTTGACACTGGCTTTACCTTTTTAGTATGAACAAGTGATAGGGTAGCGGACTTCCTGCCAATTTGTCCACAATTTTCAGATTTTCCTGCTTCATCACATCTACTTTCTCGATGTTGTCCAGGAACATCGGGTTTCTCTCCACCACCAGTTTGTAATAAAGTTTCACTTGTAGTGTTGTCAGTTGCATGTTTGTTTGAATGTCTAGTTCCATGATAATTTTCAGGGTCAATGTGCGAAAACATATGCTTTTCCAAGGCAGGGCCTGATGGAAAGTGTTCATCACAGATAAGGCAGGGAAATAAGGGTTCGGTGGATTCTATAACTACGATATAACTTGCCATAGTTACGAATATCTAAAATAAAATTATTGTTTTTTAAGCTTTGCAACAAATGAAAAGAATAACTATCACATAACTATCCTGGTAGAGAGGAAAGTCGATAAGATGGATTAAGGTGAATCACAGCCTCTAGTCCGGTTACCAGTCCATGTCGGGTATGAGATTAGCTAACCATTCAATTGTTTTCGAAAGTATGGAATTGATAGTGAAGGAAGCAGCAATGGTTATGTGAACCACCCACATCGACGAGGAGTTAAGCAATCCTCTCACACGTAAATATCCCTGCATGGGATTCAAACTGAGGAACCCACACAGGGTGATCAGAGGGGATGGAGGCTAACTCGCCACGTTGTCCGGTCAATTTGTTATCCCTTGCACAGAGTTCAAACTAAACGCATATGATTTAATATATTTATCTCCGCTATTGAAGTTTCAAGTAAAACAACCATCTTCTAATCCCCCTCCAGTGATTACAAGAGGAACCTTCGCACAGTTGCAGGCTAACCCGTTAACTGCCATTGCATGGCAAGTTAGCCTCCAGCTATCAGAGACACGTTTCTAGTGTTCAGATTGCATAACATAAAAAAACAATGAGATACGGTACCGTACTTGTAACATACTCAATAATAAGGCTTTAATTACTGAATTACATGGTATACAGTAACTGATGAAAATATGAAGTACCTGTACGGTACTGTCTCAATCCCAGACTGAATCCCATAGCCGGTGCAAGCCCGAGGGCGCTAGCGCTCCGCAAAAAATATACGCAAGCGAATTCAATTTTGCTCACCGAAAACTTGCAATAGCTCAACAATGAAAATCGGTTTAAATGGTTTTTGAATCTATAATCCAGTAATATATAGAAGACAACAAAATGTAGTTCCACAATTGTCGACTACATACTAGCTTGCAAGATTTGGCCTGATCGAAATCGTGTTGAATGATGGAAATCCGGTGAGAATAGTTATGAATGAAAAGATCGTCAGACTCCTCGTAGATGCTGATCAGTTAAGGTTATGATTCAGCGTAATTTTTATGCAATAATTTTACGTGGATGTACTGAACAGTACCGGTCTAAAGTTGAACAAACACTCTCAAAATTAATGACAAAGTATCGTAAAACTGGGTAACTTCGGATGATTTCACTATACTTTAATCAATATCTCTGCCGTTTGTTGTACAATTCGCATCAAATTTGGAATATATTACATTGATGTAATTCTCTGTACATGCATTTAATTTTCGTTGATCGGATCATTTTTTATCAATCTATAATTGTCTCATTTTTCACTACATCACTAAATATCTAACTTCGGATGGGGAATCACCTCCCTGCGTCACCGCAACTAGAGCAAAAATTGCATGCGTGAAGACAAAACACGCTTTATGTCGTTTAATCTACGTCGCGAGTGGCGGTGATAATGACGACCGTAGGATTCCTGGTGCGCCACTTTCAAGTTGTTTTTATACTAAAATGTCTCGTTTTATTTTCTCTTTCCGTAACTTTAGATCCGAATATTCACTGATCATAGCCGATAATGTTTTGATAGCGATTATATATTCCACATCGTATATAGTCGCACAATAAATATTTTTGAGCATGCATACGACCAGATTCTTTATTAAATAGACCTTAAAATGTTGGTCGTGCACGACAAAACACCGGTTTGGCAACTTTGATTTAAAGTACTTTAGTTAAATTCATCAAACAGAACTCACTTGCAACAAGTGTTTGTATTTTGTTATTTATCGCTCATTATATATTTTTATATTTTTGCAGCATTTATTGACTGCTTACAATTTTTCTATTTTGAACCATGCTGCCGTTCCAAATGGAGGAACTTGAATCGTCAAATCAAACGAAAATATTTTTCGTTAATTGCAGTTTCAATAAATTTAATTAAATTACATTTCCAACATTTGACGCCATGAATTTAAGATCCATAGCAAAATGTTGATTTGTATATTTTAGCCGATATTGATCAATCGAACAAAATATCGTTGTTATTTTCAAATCTACGCCAACTCGTCGGCGCCCGAATGTCTGGCGTCAAATCTGTAACGCCGACACAACATGATGTGCTCTTCGAAGCGTCAGGGTTACGCCAGTTCAACGTGTGCGTCAGATGCTATTATTTTGATATAAAAAGACTATTTGAATTTTAAATGTTTCTCGAGTCTCCTGCAACATCTCGTGATCAGTCTAATTTTGTATATACATTGATAACGCCCTCTATCGAATGACGGTTTTTTGACATAGTTAGCATTGGTAGAAGTCACGATTTGAACCGCTCGAAAACAGAGTGTCAATTTTATGCTGAAACAAAATTTTTTCAATCAAAAAATTAATTGTATTGCGCGATTGAATATGATAACAGATTGAGATATATAAGGACTCACTATAGAAACTGCTAGAAGCACAATATGACGCTAATTAGTCGAGATATAAACGATTGAAAATTTCATCCAAAGTTACAAAGCATCCTAAGTTACCGGTACCCGGTTTTACGATACGCGGATGTATTGAACAGTACCGGTACCATATCTCAAGTCAAAGTCAATTGCACGCAGGTGCAGTTGTTTTGTACGCCGGGAATTCTGATTTGCACGCAGTTATTTCTGGTTGCACGCCCGATTTCTCGTTCAAAAAGGCCATAAAATCCTAACCGTCTCAATCAAGGGGTAAATATACCGGTACCGCCACCGGTAGTTAGCACTGTCAGACTGTGGCACACGCAGGAACAGTGGAAAACAAACACCAGTGACCGGCACAGCTTAGCTCAGAAACTCCAGTCTTGTCAACAATTACCGGTAGCCTAGGCTAGTTCAATTTCCAATGTCCGATTGCTAAAGCCAGGTATATATGGAGTTTGGCTAAAGCAACTGTGAACGAATTTGTTTTTAAATTGATCCTACGCGGAAAAATTACATCTGGCGTATAATAAACAAAAAGTTAGTTGAAACGGGTGTTCCTTACAGTTTCAATTCCTTGTGTAGTTGTTCAGTTTTTGATAGCAGAACAAAATATAACAATCAGTTAATGAATATTTGTCAGTATTATAAATAAATAAAATTTCGTGCAACTGTCAATGCTTCGAACAAAAACATTCATACTAAAAACATTAACTTTCTTGTTTCTTTCTGTAACAATGGCCAATCAGCCACAACTTATCGGTGAATAGGATTTACATATTTATCCCAGGGGAAAGGAAAAAGCCGCTAAGTCGGTTTAATCAAACGACGAACTACTGGTCGAGCCCCACTCCTCCTCTTCTTGAATTTTTTTTTTAATTGAAAAAGTCGCTAATAGCGCATGAATTGCATTCTGGTAAAATCGTCGATTGTTTTTATCAGCATGACGTGTTATTTAGGCCATAAACGCCTTAACGTTGGTGTTTATTCTCTCTAAATTACAAATTTTTCACAAATTTGTGCCACGATACCGATGATAATTATTTTATTATTGTACTCGCACGGGATTGTGAATCTGACGAGAGTCATTATACGTTCATCGGCGGCGAGCTTCTAAAGACAAATGAAGGAGTGAATCCGCGGGGCCAATTTTTCGATTGAAAAGCGGCAATATCAAATACTAAAAATGAAATCGTTAACTATATTAAGTTCTGTTGAGGCCCCGACAGTCTAAAAACGCTTTTCTACGCATTGAAAATCGCAAAATTTCATGTGTCTACGGCACACAGTATGTTTGGCCGGCTTATAGAAACATATCGTCGTTACAAACAAAACACAGTTAATTGTGGGCGGAATTTTTCTTTTTATCCATTACTTTGAATTTAAGTCAATAATTTCCATTTTAACATTGACCCTTTCCGTGCGGTGGGCACTTATACGTACCAACGACAAAAGTCGCTAGATTGCGGCGCGTACGTTGATGTACTCCACTGTTTTATTCAGCAATCTGTCGCAAACTGTTGGTCTAGTTTTTCCGGGTTTTAGTTTATTGATAAGAAATCTTCTTCGAGATTAACATAAGCGACGGTAAATCTCGCTTTCGTTTACGACGGGAATTTTATTTGCGGCGGAACGAGGGAGTGTTTTTGAAATTTATGCAAATTTCGGTGTTTTTTGGGTGGTATTAGAAGACATATTATCCCTTCCATCTACCAAAGTATTTTGAGTTAGATCACGAAATTGCTACAGCAATATTATGCTATTGTTTGCCAACCACGAAGCGGTAACAGTAAAGGATTTAGCGAATATTTCTATTTTTTTTAGCACGGTTTGAAGTTTCAACTCCACAAATCCACCCTCGGTAATGGGCATGGACCACCATATATATATATCAGTTTTATACCGCTCGCCTTCATTATCTCAGTTTTAATTTGCTGATTTATCATATGTCACCTTCTTATAATTTTGATCAATTGTCTTTTTTTCTGCGACTTCCCATTTTTTCATCACTTAATTTGGTTGATAGTATAAGACAAGTGGTACCAAATATACAGTCTTTTTCATCTTTAGAACCAGGCTGGCCAGCCCTTCACAGCAAGTTTGTTTTACGTTATTTTTTGTTATTTTCTGTGTGGTTTTGCTCGGCGGGTTGGCCGCGACTGGCGTTGATTTAAATGTTTACACTTCAGTTATATTATACATCCACCAGATCGCGAGCCACTCGACGAGCATCCGACATTTATTTCATATGGCCCAGTTAAACAGGCCGCATTATTTACTTTTATATCGGCATGTGTTATTTTCATTACGTGTTAAATTTGTTCATTATTTAGATTAAATATCATTTGTATTTATTTTTATAAATATTGTTTTAGCCCTACTGCGTGGGAGAGCCAGGGTTACTGGCGAAGTACCGAAATAAAAGTACTCAAAGTCAATAAAGATGAACAAATCTGAGCAAGTTCGAATGTAGAGGACCTGTATCTCCTCGGCATTGTGCCACAATTTTCGTACTTCGAATATTTTATATATTACTCTCGCCAAAATCTTTTTAATTTCAATGCTTTCATTTGCAAGTGAGATAGGCAGATATCAATCGTGGACCATAGATAACATGCCCCTGCAGGCTTTTCGTGTTTTCAACTTTACAAATCCATGTACAAATAACTATATACATATATTAATACTTAAAATTATCGTTATAGTTAGTAAAAAAGTAATTTACAATTTTAATTCTCTGGCATAAACAACACAAAATGTAAACAAACAAACAAAATGCAGCGATACCTGGGATGTGAGCATAACTTGAATAAAGTTAGAAAGCGTACGTTGCCACTCACAATTATAATAAAACAAGCGTGGCCAACAAAAATATTAAAAGTACACAAAAAAGTGAACGCGGGCAATTCTTCTACCTCAATTTAAAAAAACAGCAAAATTGAGATAGATAATTCAATGTAATAATTATCGGTGCTGATTAAGGACTCGTTGGCGTCTTTTCAAATTCCTGATTACAACAATCTTTAATTTTGAACGGACGCATTTCGTTGTATTTTATTGTAAACATGTCTTCTTTGGGCCAGATCGGAGACAAATTTGGACTGGTTCCGCACCTCTGGCTTTTTTCGTCGCTGAGCATCGTTACTATTCCATATTTGTAACCATGTGGGTGGCTAGGTTACCTTTGAAATTCTCTTAACTACTATTCAGGACAGAAGTATAATGGTTTGCTCTCAATAATCCAGCCGTAGCGGGGAATCCCCCGTTTGTCTGCGATCTCTAATAATTATCTAGGTATTTCTATTGAGATATTTTAGTTCTACAATTCGACAAAACCATACGGTACTCTCTGCCAATAACAGTTTTTGGCAGTGGCGTATCTAGGGTGTGGCAGCCATGGCTCGTGCCATGGGCGCCGTTTGAGCAGGGGCGCAAAGACTGCAAAAAAGCATAATCATAAAAAGTTTCAATGAAATAATTTCAGATTGAGAACAATTGAAACTCGTATTTTTACTCAAATAATAACATACAAGTACCTCAATTCAATAACGCCATTCTACGTACGCCATTCTACGTACGCCTACGCCATTCTACGTAGAAACGCCACTGGTTTTTGGACATGTAGTGTAGTGGACGTAACAATCGTTTTGTTGTTCTTTGACACGTTTTGGAGAAATCGCTTTTCTCTTTGATTACTGGAGAAATTGCTTTGCAATTTTCAGTGAGTAAAGATTATATTTTTTGCTAGTTTTATAACTAAATCACCCGATCTTTCTTGCGTGTCGCTGCTCGATGACCAGGTTTTCAGTTTTCCGCAGCTTTCCCTCCACAGTAAAATTATACGATTACCTCTTTCTTATATGATTGTTTTTTACTGGATAGATAAAATAAATGTGACTTGACTCTCTTCAAGGGTCGGTCACCCTTGTTGACGTCTTAGCCTTATCGGCGCCTCCTAATTATAAATTCTGTTCTTTTTTTTTTATACAGTGTGTACTTTTAATTGTATTCGTAAATAAATTAACGGGCTTTGACATATTTACAATATAAATACAACGAAATACGTCTGTTCAAAATTAAAGATTGTTGTAATCAGGAATTTGAGAAGCCGTTTTGCCGTTTAGATTTTTTTGTTCGTGGCTTCGGTTCAATTATCGACTCCGCATAAATGATTGATAATATGAATTAAATAAAGAATTAATGATAATATGATTGATAATCCGAATAAATGATTGATTGATTGATTGATTGCACACATTTGCGCGTAATTTGCTTGGTAATTCGTGACGTCATATTGTGTGGGTGGTGGATTATTTCGCCCGTTTTATTTTGTCTGGCAGTCTGTAGTTCTTTCTTAGATTAATCCATATTTCAGATATTTGTTTGGTTGTAGGCGTAGCATAGATATACAGATACAAATGGTTTATTGGGAAATGGGTTTATCATTTGGAAATACCGTTTAGTCTGTTATTGCAGTATTGTGAATAAAAACCACAATTTTATATCAAATTTGAATTCCGTCGATGCAGTACCGGTATCTTTCTGCTGTTATGGCACCTGGTATAATGTTAGTCTACCTACCGGTATCTGCCGGTACGGTATATCTGCCAACAGCATGATAAACCTAGTACCGGTAACAAGTCATGGCTTTTTCTGGTTTAATACTATTATTACTGTATTCAGGTAATCTATCTATTTACCGAGCTTGTTTTTTAGTAACAATTTTTGTCACTATGTTATTTTTGCAATGAAATTGAACTAGGCCTACAGCTTTACCATTTTAGGTCAGGGAGTGTTTTTTGTTCCATAGTTTTGTAGGAAAAGCACTGTTGTGTTCCACATACACGTCTCACATTTTAAATTAAATTTAAAAGTATTGCCCGATTTTATATTGTGTTTTTGTTTCATTGTGTTTTGACTGTTTTTGGTGGACGGGCACGTACGTTTTAACTTTTCTATTAAGTTATTCCCGTCCTCCAGGTCCTCGGTATTTTGTTTGTTGTTGTTTTGTTTCTATCAGAGTAACCAAATAAAATTGATTGATTGATTGATTTTTTGATGTCAAGTCTTAGATAAATTGTAAATACAGTTTGGAATTCTTCTGACAAACCTATACTGTATATGCGCCTGTACATCAAATAGTGCCAGGTTTACAGAAAGCAACATGGCCTAGAAATATTTGAGATATGAGTTCAACTTTCAATGGCTTCAATAAGAGTCAAAAAATAATAATAAATAATTACTGTACATTTGGATTTATAGGACAGTTCAACATCATTTTTCCTTATGCACAGTTCTCCGATTTTAAAAATATCTCCCACGGTAAACGACATCAAATATAGCAGTGCAAATCCCTCTTTTATGAGTCAGTCTGGGCGTCCATATCGGCAATCTAGCACTGCATATTAAACTAAAATGGTGTTTATTAACCTGACTTTGATCAGGTGGGGGTTAGGACTGACATTTGCCAAAGTATTCATGCTACAGCCTACACACAAGTAGTAGGCTACTTAAGTTGCGAAAGTACACTAGACCCCAGTACACTAAAACAGTGTTTCCTAATCTGGGTTCGATCGAACCCCTGGGGTTTGGTGGAGTTGTTCAAGGGGTTCGATGAAGGTCCTTTGAAACAATTGTATACCGGTACCTTGTCATCGTAGGGTCAGGTTAATATTAAAATCACACAACCGTTGAGATTGTGTAACAAAGTACAATCTATTGTTTGTAAAGCATCGGTCATATGCTTGTCGGACTGCTGTTTGAAGTCTATAAGTCCGAGAAACGAATGACTCAAGCCATCAACGTTTTCAAGACATTTCAGCTTTCAGATCTCCAAAAACTCAATTTTACTATTGCAGTAAATCCACCCGCACAACTTCTATAACAAAAAAACGTCCTTTCCGCAGAAACTTAGACTCTGTCGAGACACCATTAAGGCTCAACAATAGTTAGTTATTTTGAGGCAGTGTATTGATATCTAAGGTTACACCACAATCCTCGTTGTGGTTCCTATTTTGTCGCTATCATATTTTTCCGCTACACTTGGCATCATTTTCTCCTCATCATTTCAGTATGGACCTTTTTTTGTATAAAAATCCCAAAACAGTAATATCAGAATATGTGATTTATACTCAAGTGAAAGTGATTCATACTGGACCTTGCTTAGATTTCTTTGTTCACGATGTCTAGCTATTGATCGTTTTGTTTTCGTTGCAAACCATATGAAAAAAATTGTTCTTTTCATTAACTACTCGATTGTAGAATGCTATTAATTACCTTTATTTGTTTCAAAACTTCTGTGATTCTTTTCTCACCTCACTTTCACAAATTTTGTGTGATGACTGATGACCTCATGAAAATGAATACTAATTATAATTAGTAAAATAAATTATTTGTCGACCATTTTGTGCTACTATCTTGCTGTCCGAAAATTGGTAGTTTTTCGGCGGTACCAGTAATGTAAAAGGTATCTTAGAATACAGCTTCGCTTTGGTCTTCGTGTCGATGTATTTAACCGTCGTCCTCTTGTTTTCGATCTGTTACCTAATCTTTTATAAACATTAGTTTCATGACTGAGTTAGGGTTTGGAACCGTCATCAACGATGCCCGTATTACAGGACCAGTTTGGGCAACATTTGGATTTAACTAGAGAGGAAGCAAATAGTTTTCTATCAAGAAAACTCAAAGCAAACACTGCGCTTCATTTTGAAGAAACAAAGCAAGGTAATCTTGAAAGGGAATGCTATGAAGAGGTTTGCAGCCATGAAGAAGCAAGAGAAGTCTTTGAATTTGATACTATTGGCCTGGTGAGTTGGTTTATGAAAGTTCTAATCTTTGAGTTGAGATGTTACGAATATCATGTGAAAAGAAAGATTATATAATCAGGAATAATTATGATAGCAGTTAAAAACATAAACTAGTTGTATTGGCGTCGTTATATTTTTGGTTTCTAGTCTGGTTACCCATCTCTTCTTCAAATTCCAATTTTTTTCAATAATTGGGAGAAGATTTAAAAAACCTAGTTAGCAACTTATTTTGTATTGATTAAAAAATTATAACGGCATGACACAGGGATTTATCCATGATTTGCTTATTTATGATAAGCCTATTGATTCTATTGTTTGTCATAATGCATTTTTAAAAGAGATTTCATCAGTGGGATTATCTTAGACTTAGATACTAATCATGTATTAGGATATTGAAATTTTTTAATATTTTGCATAATAATAAAGATCAAAGACTTATGCATTTATTTAAAGGAGCTTTATTCTTAGTTTATTTTATGTAAAAGTCTGTACTCCCGAAGTATGTGAACCAAGATGGCGGACACCGGAATGTAGTATGTATACCAGTATTAGCGTTAGGCCAAGATTTTATTCCAATTTTCCTTATTTTACTTCTATTACGAGTTCGGGACTAGCCAAGTGACTCCTAGTATTTGTACCTAAAATGATGGCCTAACCCTAAACCGGTACACATACCACGTTCTGGTGTCTGCCACTGGGTTCACATACTTCGGGTGTCCTTATATAAGAGTCAACGCCAATGTTAAGAAATTCAATTTAACGCTGATCTAAATCGATGCAAATTGAAAATTCTGAAAACATATTATTGTTTCAGTTCAGTAAAATTATTATTTTCCCCCATAGTCATGATTTATGTAAAATGGGGTTTTATTTTGCAGCAAAATGGATGAATTTAAAATAGTTTTCTGTACTAGGAAGCTACAATCAGCATTGGTTTCCCAATAAACTGGGTATCACAATTTTATTATTGGCATATTTGGGAAATCACATTCTGGAAAATTGAGAATTTCATCTATAATAATAGGAAAGTCAAATAAATTTATTCAAAAATTCCTTAATTTAGCGCAACCATGATAATCAAAAATTTCTACCTCTATGCCCTGTGGGCGTATGAAGGGCATATGCTTTTAACATTCAGACATTTTAATTCCTCTTCATTTATCACTATGTAAACTAGCCTACTATGTACACAACACTCCCGCCTACGCAGTCCGTGTGTGTGTGTGTTTTCTAGATGTGGCCACATAGAACTGTATAGTTTTATATGTCAATAAAGCATGAATGGAATTATTTTGGCCTATAATTTTAGATACTGACAGTCTGACTCCTGTTTTTTGCTGTGAGTGCTCTCACCTACTAAACCAAATATTTAGAGTTTTTTAGCATTTCGATTTCGAAGAGACAATATTTGAAGTAATATTCAATGAAAAACACTTTTTTCAGAATAACATTGATTCGAAATTGTATTGAGTAAACCATTAAAAATAGTGATTTGTATTTCCTAACTGAAGTTATGCCTTGGTTTTGTTACACTGATAGACACTAAATTGCAAATTATTTCTTCTAAAACCCAAATAGAGTCCTTACAAATAACACTTTTTGAAGAGTTCAATTGATTCAATTGATGAATTCAATTGATAAATTCGTTCCTGCAATTCATAGAGATTTCCAACAGACTGGTTTATTTTAAATTCTTTCGTAGAACTTTTCATTTGAATAACATTGATTCATATGAAGTAAAACATACGGAATAGTGATCTCAATTTTGATCCCAACTGGTCCCTGTAGCTGTAATAGACCCCTTCATTATTCATTATACCAGTTAAACCAAATCTCAAAGGTCGGAGAGAGGATTCTTTTGCTAGTAGGCTATATTCAGCAGTTAGAGAACTCAACTGATAAATTAAACTCCGCCCAAACAGCTGAATATTGTAAAATTTGAAAATTTTGATTTGGACCTGCAACTCTGTAAAATTTTAGTAAATTTTTTTATTTCAAATAACATTATTTTTATAGTTTATGAAGTCGACATTCATTTTAATTTTTAGCATCCATGAATTGGCCTAGCAAGCTATTGAGTTGCCATAATTCCTATTTCAATTTAAATATCTAAAGTTTTTTAGTCATCCTTGGTACATGAAAAATAGTTTTGATTTACGAATCATTCTGATCACTCTCTGTGTACTATTCTTTTTTTTTTTGAGCTTTTATTATCATGACTCACCATAGAGCGGTGTGAATTTCAAATGGGAGTTTTGGTTGAATGGGGTTCAAAATTCAATATGGTTGCTTTACTCACATTTTTGAAAAATAGTAAGTTCCAACACAAATCTGGAGAGTTTAGACAAATCATTGTAGTGCCCAACTCGCCGGTGACTGGTACAATATCTAATACAGAATAACTTAATAAAATCAGAACCCTAAGTTCATTTGATACATATTCTGGAAAGAACATAACTTTTGCTCAAAGCGTCTTAGATACTTGAACATATGGGTACAATCTTACACAAACAGAAGTTCATATGGCCAATAAATTTTTATTTATTTTCATAGCTAATAGTAATTAGTTATGGGTTTTGTTTTAATTCTAATAAAAAAACACTCAAGAATTACTGAATTCAAATTTCGAAAACATAAAAATTTGTCAAGAACCAGTCAAGCATATATTTTTCATATTTATATTCTTTTATTTCAGAATGTATTCCGAATAGCAAATTAACTCTGTTTGACCATCTCTGGTCTGAAATCTATTCAACTATTTTGTTTACCTTAATGCGTGGGTTTGAATTTTATGTAAATCCTTGAATAACAGGTTTTAAAATTAACCGAGCGGGAAATTTTAGTCGTGACAATATTGTGATCAATCAGGCATGGATGAATACCATTGTGGTGATTTTTGTATTTCGAATTTCTAGTTGTAGGCTTTTGATAAAATAAAGGAATTGATTTTTGACATTCCTGTGTAGTTTTAGGGAAGTAATCATTTCAGCCTGAACAAATATTCCTATTCAAGTTATTAAATATTGCAGACTTGACAAAATGGGTTTTAGAACTCAGGATTTTAACGATATTTTTATAAAATGAACTCAATTTTCATAATAATTGGAAAAATTCATTGAAAAAATGTTGCAGTAGAAAGTTTTGTTTGGTACTTGTCTGTGAATTTGTTTGAAGTAAAAAAGTTACCCACCCCACAGACAAACGAATAAAAAACAATGTATTTGAAAATCTACAATTTTCTACATTTTTTTTGATTTAGTATAAATCACAAAAACTAGGGTAATTTATGAATATTTTTCATTTAGTTATACTTCGTATAGAAATATATAAAACTTTGTGGAACCTTGAATTGATTTGTATATTATTGCAACGTTACATTCAATACATTATGCAATATGAAAGTGTCACAAGGTAGCAATCACCTAAATTGATGATTCCTTGTGAATGATCTTGATCACCGGCCAACTTTTACGGAGAAGTTATGCATCGAATAGATTTTTATGACAGAGCTTAATTGATTTAAAAGAATTACAACGACTTTTTCTACAGTATTCACTTTGAATAAATTTAATTTTTGATTATCCTCTCTAATAAAGGTGTTATTGGAAGTCAAAGGTTCAAACAAATCTTGATTATTCCGCAAGAGAAAAATTTGTCGATTGACATGAATTTGATTCGTTCAAATTCACATTTGTCATAATAATTAGTGTATAGTGTCTTATTGGAAGTATACATTGACATTAATAAACAATGTTCACAACAGTTATAACAATGTGCAAATGATATGAAATATTTGTGGAAATTGTAGCATTCTACATTGAGATTAATCAGTTCCTCCGGTAATAGTTTTGAAACTTTTTAACGTTTATTCACAAGGACTAGCAAACTGATTAGTTAGCAAGCGAAACATAAATTTTGGTATTTGATTTTGAAAATTTTGCGATGTTAATTTAAGTCCAATATAATTTTATTATTGTTAAAGAAGCATTCCACTATCTCTTTCCATTGAAATTGGATGTGTTTTCATTCATTTCTATTCAGTGATGTACAAATTAAATTGAAGTTTAGAAATTAAACAAGGGACTCCATTACATTCATATTTCAAATCACAATATATATTATATAAGCTTTTACGCTTGAATAAATAACATTATTGGGTGGGGTGGAAGTTCTTTCAGATATCCGCTCTGTTTGAGTTTTAATAAAGTATATCATACTATGGCGATGTCTGTTTAGTTACAGAATTGAAATACAGCTTCACAAAACAAATTCTTGCTTTGGTGATGTCCAATGGTACTTCTAATTTGGGCGATGGTGACCATGTCCATTTCAGTACTTGGTTATATATGAAATTTAATTCAATATTTTTGTTGTTATATTATGTCCGAATGTGCCACTCCAGTCTATGGCTACTTGAAACAGGTACACTGGACTTGTGGATAACATCGTCATTCATATTTGCAATTTCAATGCATATTATGTGAGATTTCACTTGTGAATAAATAACATTATTGGGTGTGGTTAAATGGTCTGTCACATACCTGCTCTGTTTGAGGTCCAATAAAATATGACAAGCTATGTCTTTTTAGTTTAAATAAAGGAAATACTGCTTTATAAAACACATTTTTACTTTGTGATGTTTGTAAGGTCCATCAACTTCTAATTTGGGCGATGATGACCGTGTCTTTTTCCGTACTTGGTCAAATGAAATTCAATTCAGTATTTTTGTTGTCATATTATGTCTGAATGTGCCACTCCAGTCTATGGCTACTTGAAACAGGTACACTGAACTAAACTAGTAGATGAAATTGCCTTTCATATTTGCAATTACGAGCTTTCACACGTGAATAAATAACATTATTGGGTGTGGTTAGACGTCTTCCACTCTCTCGCTCTATTTGAGATTAAAGCATATCAAACTGTCAATATCAAATTTAGTTGAACAAAGACATTTTAAAATGCAGTTCCAAAGCCTTCCTACACAAACCCCAATCTTGAGTTTGTTAGTTTTTGGATATACAGTAACTTTGATAATCAACAGGACTGCTATCTGGGCCTTATATTTTTTAGTACTTGTTTAATAAATAAGAGGTTTAATTCTGAATTTTTGGTCATTTGGGTCCAAGTATTTTTTGAATTTTTGTTATCACATTATGTCTGATTGTGCCACTTCTGTCAAGAGCTACTTGAAACAGGTATAGCCAACAGGATAACATTTTGCCCTACATACCTAGTTAAAGACCATTTGATAACCTAAGCCTACTGCTACCACTTCACCTACAGCGCTCCGGAAGTGTATGTACCAATATAGAGGTAACTAATTTTGTTCGCCTACTTTACATCAAGTTGTGTAAAGGTCGGAAACCTATGGACAGCGGGTATATTCACTTGGCTAACAAAAACAGTCCCCGAACTCGTAATAGAACTAAAATAAGGAAAATCGGAATAAAATTACCTCACCTACTGTATAATAAAGCGAGAAAGATATATTATTGAAATCAAAAATACTTGATCTCTACTTTACTGTGTTTTTGTTAGTTCGAATAAAAAAAATTCAGAGTAGATAATATATTCACATTGATTATTGATTAGTAAAATATTGGTGTCAAATCCAATATCTTCATTCCTGTTATAAAAATCATCTACCTAAAGTTGGTCTATGTAAGGTATTCAGTTGTGAAGGTGCAAAACAATCTACAGAATAAAAAATATTGTGTTCCGAAACATAGATAAAAATGTTAGTGTGTCAACCTCAATATATTTGTTGTTATTATTGCAATATTCTTTGCACTGAGAATCTAAAATGGCAATAATAGATCTTCGATTATTCTTGCATAACCAGTTGAATAAAAATACAGGGTGTCCATAAAGTCTCTTTTTAATTTCAGTTTTGTTATGATTTATGGACACTCTATAATGTGCTTTGAAACATATAAATCGATAAAAAGGTACCAAACTTAAAAAAGTTGTTGTTGAAAAATATTCTTTTCCTAGAATAATAAAAATCCCCAAATCTCGCTATTATGAGGTTCACCTATATAAGATATTGACAAGAACTGAAAACTCATAAATTTATTCCAGACTAATGAAACATTATGATATCAGAGTTTTACGACATGACTAAAGCTCTTAAAATTATTTTAATTACCACCTTCTATACATAATAATTATTGCACAATATGCCATGTTTTTACGATCGTTGATTATTAATGATTACATGCTGTTGTTGCTGAACAATATATAAAAATAAAATGACAACTAACTTGGTTGGCTGATATATCAGTCGAGCTCGACTCATGGCCCCTTGTTTATCATTCTAGTGATACATTGATTGGTGGATTCCAAAGCCGATGAATAAAAATCAAACATCAAAAAACATTGCTAAATCTGTATAACCAAAATTTAGTTGCACTGTTTCATTAGTTTTAAGGGAAAATGGTTAATAAATAATACCGTAAATTCAAACTATGACTTGATCAACACATTTCAAAGAGTTGCATTGAAAGTTGCAACTTTATATTCTTCTTTAGCCTTGATAACTATTCTCCCACCATGATTTACCCCCGGAATTATATAACGGTCATTATTAATGGCTGAATTTAGAGAGTAATTAGGGCATCTTGCCTTGTCCTTATCAGGCTCCGAAACACACAATATTTGATCAGTTTCGCATATAGTTTGCATAATGACATAGTGATTGCCCAAAAGAGAATTTGATACTAATGCAAATATGCAGATCATATTGGTCTGGGACCTCATATATTATATGATCCTCACAGATGGTGTTATTTGTTCTTTTTAAAAACCTTTTGTTTTTTAGATAAGTAAATCCATGTATCTGAAACAAATAACTCGCTAACTATTCCAATACCCGTCATGAACCAGACAACTGTGGCTTTGTTCGACATATGATTGAGCCGTCTTATCAGCATTCCTCTCCTTGGGTACAATAGGAAAATCCTATCCCGAATTATCACATAAGAATAAGTTACTATTCTAGAATACTCAAATCGAATTCAAAATACCAAATCTTATTCAAACTTTATAGTTAACGGTTTTATTAAATAGTAGGAATTCCCCAACACATTGTTCGATTAAAATTTAAAAAAAATTCGCTTAAACGTATTACTATCTCTGTACACAAGAGAGAAAGTGACCGTCGAAAATTGACAAAAATTCAGGCTTGGTGCCGAAGAGGCGGAAACCGAATCATGTTATCAGATCCTTCTGGGTTTGTATACTTCAGGGTTCCAATCCTCCGGGTTCGGTATTCTAAATTGCCCATCACCAATCAAATATATAGTATGGTTTGCATTTGCAATTGTACTCTTTGGTTGATATTTTGATTCAACATTGAAGAGAAAAATCACATTCATACAGGCATTCCGACAGGAGTAAATTTGTTCCAATTAATATATCATAAATTGTGGCACTTGTTTCGGGTTTCATTCGTCGTCTTTGGAATTTGTCATTTATAAGCAATATTTGGAATAGGGGAGTGGTTTCATGGTTACAAATTGAAAACTGCCAATGTTCATTTTATTAAATATTGTGAATAGAATATTGAATAAATGATGAATATTCAAATACATTCAAATTTTTATATGTTAAATTCAATTAATTCTTGACGATATTAGGAATATTAGTAGGTTGTCATATTCAGCGTTTAATATCTGATGCTCAAGATAGAAAATACTGACTTAACTTTACTTCTGACAGTGTAAATATTAATCAGAATCTTTATCTCATTTTTTTCTTGCATTTTCCTATTAAATTCGTAGGCTATAAATTATATTGATCTGTGCAATGTTATCTGTTGAATGTGGCCTGATTTGAAATATGTGCGATTTTCCGTATTTGAAAATCTTATTTATGAACAGCGGTTCGCAAACCGCCTGCCAAATACAACTCTGCATAACGATTTAATATGGTCCGCCTAACTTGACTGAAATAGTCTTACACTTTATTTTTTCTTTTTGCGTTTGTTTGCATTTGCATGAATTGTTACGGCATTATCACAGTTTAAGCACATGTACATTTGTAACAATTCAATTATACTATCTTCTTAATCATGCGTGCCAGTATCGGCACCTTGCAGGCGCTCCCCTCTTCTGACCCACGAATATCCTTCAGTTTCTAATTTTGGTCTCCAGTCAATTAACTTTGGGAACCACTGTTCTAGAATGTACTTGATATAGTGGTTTATTTAGTTTTGGCCAACCCTGTCTTCAAATATATAATGATTCGTGAAATTTCTGTTTGATGTAACAAAATTAAGAATAAATTCAGTAGGCCTACTCTAATAATAATATTTCACAACTTATTCAATGTAGTAACTAGTAACCTATTTATTTTCAGCCATACTTTTATTACTTAATGCCTTTTTGATTTGTAAAGGATAGCTTAACATACTTCAAGCAAAATAATGTTTGAAAAATCTTTTTCTTAGAACAAATTCTGGGCTCAATACACCGGCCAAAGTGATGAAGCTTCGCAAGACAACATTGTTGGAGTTATTATCGGTATCATGTTCGGGGTGTTGGGATTCATTATTCTCGTTATTGTTTTATTCGTTCTATGGAAGAAGAGGAAAGGAGAACTTGACAGGAGGTCGAGTTATGGAGATCAGCCTTACAATCCGTACCCACTTCATGTTTTATATCCTCCCGCAAGTGAGTTTGTTATTTTCGTCTGAAATTTTTTAATTAAATGACGGCGTGATTATTATAGCTGTAGGACATCTAAATAATGGTAATTTATGGATTTTGAAGCGCCATTAAGGTTTATATCATGGTTCAAAATACTCAAAATTATGAGAGAGCGATGCTTAAATATATGGATACATGTCCAATAACTAATTCTTGTATATTGGAATTCTAGATTCAGATAAGAGCACACCCAGTAATTTTTGACTACTATTTTTGTACTTTCCTAATTTCAGCAGACATAAGTGGTCAGGAATCAGGATGATATACTTTGGTGGGCAAAATTCGGCCCGCGCCCCCCCCCCCCTGATTTAGAATAGGCCTATTCAAAAACACAATTTCAGAATACAAACTATTTAAATATGAATATATTTGGAGGAATGTCTCTCTCTCTTAGCATAAAAATTTGTTTTCATTTCCAATTTAGGTAAAGCAAATGGAAACCATTATGAGATGCCAATCATTGATGCTTATGATAGTGACCTAGCTCTTGGAATCAGTGAATGTTATGTCGAACGTGAAAGGCTTCTTGTTGGAGAACTCATAACTTCAGGAAACTTTGGCGAAGTTCATAAAGGAGAATTGAGAATGAGAGACGGATCTTTGATGGATGTGGCCGTCAAGAGTTTGATAAGTAAGCACAGTGGTTTCCACATTTTTCTTTATCTTCCCCCCCTACTTTGACTATTTATCTATCGATCTCGATCTGTCTGTCTTGTTTGTTTGTTTGTCTGTTACACACTTTCGAATCTTATGTGATATCTCACAAAAGCGAGGTTGAATCTGCTCCAAATTTTGCATGTGCATTCAATATATCTCGGACCAGTAGCCTATTGATTTTGGATGAATTTTGTCATATAGTTAGCGAGTTATTAATTAATTAGTGATGGGACACGCGGTGTTGCTATTGAGTCAGAGCAAAGGAATGGAAACCGCAGTTTCTTCCAACTTTCACAGCTGCGAACGATTGTGTGTGTAACAATGCCCTGTCTGCGTAACAATGCCCTGTCTGCGATGTGGAATGTTTAGGTATTTTGATGACACGTCGCTTCGACTTTGTGGGGCTGGTGATGACCGGTGCGGAAGATCGATAAGTCGACTGTCTCTGATTGCTATCTAATTTGAATCTATTTATTCCTTCTTCCAACATTCATTGCCTGCCTAATGTATTACACCCTAAGTTAGGTGAAAAGTGATTTGATCCTGGTCAAGTTTTCTAATTTGAATAAATCAAATCAAAATTTTTTTAACAGCATTAGACGACAGAGAAGATATTGAAAAATTTCTTCGCGAGGGGGTCATGATGAGAGGACTCGATCATAAAAATGTGCTTTCACTCATTGGAGTTTGCGTAGAGGATGATGACTTGAGAAAATCTCCTCTGATTGTTCTTCCTTTCATGAAATATGGAGATCTGAGGACGTTTTTAAGGGACGGAAATAATGTAAGTTGTTGGGACCTAGATATGTGATTATAAACGATTATTCTTCTGACATAATTCATGTCATGCAACACAGGGGTGTGCAACCTGCGGTCCACGGCAAATTCGGCCCACAAGGAAAAATTGTGTGGCCCGCGGAGGAGTGCCAATTTTGAATGATGTTCAAATGAGTCTTAGTTCCATTCCTATTCCTTTACGTTGCCACGCTTTTACCTGAGATTATTATTATTATGCCTATTACATTGAATTGCTTTTTTTGTGCCTGCAAGTCTGCAACTGCACGAATGGCTATGTTAAATAAAGGTACTACCTGCGGTTTCAAATTTCAACCAGTTATATGTATCTGGCCCTTCTGTATTAAAGGCTGATGCAGCACACTGATTTAATACATATACATAAAACCATCCCTTGTTGTAATTTAACTTAACAAAGTAAAATATACCTTCATATGCATTATGATTTATATGGATGTTTCCCTGAGCATTGACTTCCTTGTTCATTTCCATAACATCAAGCAATCCGCTAGATCGAAAAAGTGACGTAACATCAGATATTTAGCAGCCACATTTGTCATTCAGACAGATTCTCAGGCATGTTTGTAAACATTACCTATTTTTCGTGTTTTGAAGGTCATTTGATAGTTTTTGACGTTTTGTTTCGAAATTTTAAATATGAATCAAATAATTCAATGATCATTTTGTCTTCGTAGGATCTGTAGTTTAATTACGGTAATTTAAAATTATAATCTAGGCTCAACTCCCCTACCGGTACTTTCAAATATCAGGATGATGAATGTTTTGAATTAAAATGATGGATTGAAACACTTACACCAGTTATAGACGCTAACTCGTGAAACCATTCTCTAAATAAGAACAAAAAATTTTGCAATGGTAAAAAATAGGCAGAATTTTTTGGGGGATAAGGATTGAAAAAACGTTAATTACAGAAATTAATGGTAAATATGTCACAGGCTCGAAAAACTAGGTTTGGTTTTTGGATCACCCTGTATATAACGCTATTCCTTGTTGTAATATAATTCGACAAAGTAAAATTTTCACTCCATTGTGTTGTGATTTTTATCACATAAAGTAAATACGTTCGAGTTCGAAAAGTTAAAGAGCCACCTTATCTAAGTAAATTCTTAACAAAATCCTAATCATGTCCCAAATTTGCAGACCCAATTATCCAAAATTATGTAGGCGTTTGTGTGTCATAGTAACGTTGTTTTATGAATGCTCCCCGAGGGAATATTTTTAAACAATTCTCAGACAGTATGATATGATTTTCAAGTCTGACAGCAAATATTCTAAGTTTTTGAATTTGTGTGCACAAATTGAATAATGACAACTGAACTATATGTTTAGTAGGCCACACCATATAATTCAATTGATTATTGAATTGAAGTTTCAGTTTCATCGCTGTTCAACTTCTATTATAATTTGTATCTTAATTTAGGTGATATTATCCATCTCTGATAAAAGTTTTGAAAGCACGTCCTTCAATTTTTTTTTCAAAGTTTTATCCAGTTCTCTCCCGAAAATTAATATTTAAGAAAGTGTTGCACTCAACCACTCATTTGCTATTGGCGGTATGTAGGTTTATCTTTGCATCATAGATAGCTAGTGGTTAGTAAGAGATCCAGCTAAGTCTTCTAACCAAAGGATACCAGAGTATGTGTACCATGTTAGGGTTAGGCCATAATTGAATTCCAATTTTCCTCATTTTGGTTCTATTACGAGTTCGGGGCTAGTCAAGTGACTCCCGCAATATTTGTACCTGAAATTATGGCCTAACTCTAGCCTGGTACGCATACTATGTTCCAGTGTCTGTCATTTGGTTCACATACTACCAAATTTTTGAATATTTTGATTTGATTGAAGACTTGAGTTTCATGAACTTAACAAGATTACCACAATGTAAAAGCTAAACAACACAGAACGCATGTTTTAAAACTGCCCTGGAGGCATGCAACATACTGTAAACTATAATTATTGTTTTCTGTTTAGTTAAATTAGATATTGATCAGTAATGTCTAATTATACAGATGGCCCATTCAATACTGCATAATAATTTTGTTCTTGATTACAAATGATACAACCTTGTGAAACTTTTTATATCATTTTATTGAATTTTGAGTGGTTGAGAATTGTCATATGATTCCTATTTATGCTGTTTCCTCCGAATAAGACGCTAAAACTGATATCTAACTATTTATAAGAAGGACCAATAATTCGATATTCTATTATAAATGATGTCTTATTACACAGATGGCCCATTCAATAAAGCATAATTTATTTCTGAATACAAATTATACAACATTATGAAGCTTTTGATATCATTTGTTCTGTGTTAAGCTTTAGGAGTACACTTGCTATCGCAAGCGCAAGTTTGAATCCCTTGGGGGCTAATTATGTGGTTCACATAACCGTAACTGGGCAAAACAGTGAAATATTCAACACATCGCCAAGAGAAAACAAATGTTACTGAGACAATTCACCCAAAAATACCTGCTTTAGCAGGCTACCAAAATATAATTGGAGTAAAAAGTTATATTAGATAGCTAACCTACCTAATAAACATATAAATGCTTTGTCCGTGGTATAAGTAGGGTATATAAAGATCAGCTAAACTACTATTTGTGGTAGATTTTAATTGTCAGTTCAAGTACATAGTCTGTGGCCCTTGGTGGTCTATGGAGGCAATTTTATATACATGCACTATGTGAGAACGATAGTGTTTATGGATTTGCAGTCAATTATGTGATAAAAAATGCAATCGCATACCTTATTAAGGATTTCCAGGACTCACATTCTTGCAGAATAAACTAAATCAAAAACTACATACAAAATTGGCACTCTGCAGGCCGCATCATTACTTATCGATTTTAATTGGTAGGTATGTTGATAGGTATTTGTCTGCATGTCTGTTAGATGCATGTGATATCTCACGGAAGCCAGATTGAATCTGCTCCAAATTTTGCATGTGCATTCATCATATCTCGAATCAGAAGCTCATTGATTTTGGGCGAATTATGTCGTATAATTAGCGAGGTATTAATTAAACAGTAATGGGACACAAGGTGTCACTATGGAGTAAGAGCGCTGTTTTGAGGATCCCCTAACTTTCGATCGATAAGTCTTTGGTCTCTGACCGATATTCTCGTTTTTCCTTGCTGGACGCATTTTACACACTCCTGAATTAAAACGTACTAAACTCCACAACCCCCACAGCTGTGTTTTTTGTAATTCGCTTTTTTACAATTTCTTTCATTTTTTTCAGGTTCTAACTGTGATGCATCTCCTGAGGTTTTGTGGTGACGTCGCTCACGGAATGAAATACCTCGCTGATAAAAAATTTGTCCACAGAGATCTTGCAGCCAGAAATTGCATGTAAGGCTAGATTTATCTGATTTTTTACAATATTTTATATTAGGGTCTGTAAGACCAACCACTGTTGGATATAGAGCTACTGTACTTTGGAACCGGAATCTTGCTTTCACTCAATCTTTACTTACTTTCTGTTACATAGTGTCTGCCTACATTGTTACACAACAATAGAGTTTTGTGCGTATGAGCCGACCCCTTAGTTTGGCAACTTTTTTTTGAGTTTGAAACCTGTGGATACACGGTAATACATTTTGAACAGATTTCAGTGCGGTAGGAGTCTATCTAGTATTCTCAGTATCTCAAACATTAATTGAAACAACTTTTCAGGGTTGATGAGCGGTGGTGCGTCAAGGTGGCTGATTTTGGACTTTCTAGAGATTTGTTCGATCGTGATTATTATACAAGCAGTGTGAAAACGCAACTACCATTGAAGTGGATGCCTCCAGAAAGCATCAAATATGGAAGATACGATGAAAAATCTGACGTGGTTAGTATTTAGATGTATTAAAACAAAATTTGTTGGTGTTAATTGATATTTACTCATTCGAGTAACACCACAAGGCTCATTTGTCACATCAGGTCATTACAGATCATTCATTTTAAAGTAAGTTTGTTCTGAGTAAAATTAGGAGCGCTCATTCGTAAGAAAATATATTACTGGTACAAGAGGTGCAAGCGACTCACATTAAGTCTTTAAAGTTTAAGCTATTCAAAACCATATTGCGGAGAAAACATCTTTATGGTAAAGAATTCTTTGAAAAAGGCTTTTAGTGTAAAAAAGCAGAGAAGACTTAAATTAAACATGCAACATTAGGTATGTAACATTACTACTTTAAAAGGTGGATATACGTACATCTTTCTTAAAAACCATTTTAGAATTAATAGAGACAAACCTTGCTGTTTCACTGCTGTTCGGCTACAGCTCCTACACTATTAAGTTCATGTATCTGAATTTAATAACCAGTCAAGTTGGCTTTAGGGACTTTCCTATTCCTCGAGATAGATATGAAAACCTATCCTAAGACTGCTTCTGAATTGTATTTCCTTTTTTTTTAGTGGTCATATGGAATAGTATGCTGGGAGATTATGACCCGAGGAGCAATCCCCTACCCCACTGTGCAAGCTGTTGCTATTCTACAATATCTGAGTGATGGGAACAGGATGGAAAAACCTGAATGTTGTCCTGCTAAATTGTAAGTATTCATCATCATCATTAGTTGTTCATGCCACTGCAGGCAAATAGCCTCCGTATTTGACACCAGGTGCTCCAGCATGTTGCATCCAGATGATGTAACTTTTTCATCTATGTTGCCTCTCCATCTCCTTCCTGGTCTACCTTTCCTTCCCCATGGGGGGGGGGGGTACTATTTTATCAAAAAGAGTTAATTTTTTATGTTTTGGGCTGGTGGTCTAGGTTGGTATATGTATACTGTTTGATTATAATCAATTACCTCAATCAAACTATAGGACGAAGGTTTCACGAGACCTTGGGGGTCAAAGGTTGAAAACCACTGCTCTACAATATTACAAAGCTCAGTTTGAAATAATAATTGATTTTGCCAGGCACTCAGTAATGAAAAGTTGTTGGTTGGATGAGCCGACAGACCGCCCAACATTTTCCGAACTAGTTTCAATGACCAGCGACGTTATCAGAGATGCAAAGAGGATATCCGGTAAGCTTTTGGTCTTTTTTTTTGCTGAGATTCTCTTTTAGCAAGGCCTTAAGCAAGCTGTTTATATCAGTGGTTCTCAACTTCCCAATTTCATTGCTTCCTAATAAACAGGGGGGCATGAGCGCTAAAAGCCTCCAAAAAGGGAAATCTTGCTTGAAAATCTGTGAAATTTTTTTATAAATTATAGTTTTGGGTTCAGCAGACACAAGTGGGCCGGATGAAACCCTTTGCGGGGTCATCTTCGACTCGCACGCCATAATTTGCCCACCCCGATCCTACCTAAAATACAGTGTTTTCCAACCTATGTTCTGACTAATTTCTACTTGTTGTCTTAGGTCGAAGGTCACGAAGTTCAGATGCAAGTTCTTCTTATACACATGATAGCCGAGGTGCTGGAACTGCTTATCAAAACTCTGACACAGAACGATCCTCAGTGAGAAGGGACAAAGGAAAGGGAGATAGAAGACGCGATGAAGTTGACAGGTAAGAACATTAGTTTTTTGGTGCTCCCAAAGTATGTGAACCAAGAAGGCGGACATTGGAACGTAGTATGTGTACCAGGATAGGGTTGGGCCAGAATCTCAGGTACAGATACTATGAGAGTCACTTTGCTAGTTCCCTAACTTGTAATAGAACTAAAATAGAGAAAATTGGAATAAAATTATGACCTTTCCCTAACCTGGTACACATACTACGTTCCAGTGTCCGCCATCTTGGTTCGCATACTACGGTAGTACCAGTTTTTCTATACCAGGGGTGGGCAATTACTTTCTGAGTGGGCCAGTCACAGATAATAGACTTGGTTAGGGGGCCAGACGCTCAAAACCCTATAAGAAAAACTACAAATTAACTACAGTTTATTTAGGAAAACTAGGCTAGCGTTTATATAATAATAAGAAGCAACATATAACAGCCGGGGGCATCATGACGTTATTTTCATCGATAGTTTGACAGAAAATTATACCCTTATAAGCTATAGTCGTAATTTCAGCAGACACAAGTTGGCCGGATGAAACACTTTGGTGGGCTGGATCCGGCCAGCGGGCTGTAATTTGTTCACTCCTGTTCTATACGGTGCTCATTCACGGTTTTCCTCCGAACAAGGCTCTGTACAAGCTGCCACTGAACATTATAAAGAGCCATATTTTTTTTGATTCTGTCGACTACCCATTAATTAATTTATTTCATCCTGGTTTATCCTTATTTAAAATTCCTTCCAGATTATATTAACTTATTGGGATTCCAGGGGCTCTTGTTTTCTTCTTGTATTAGGTCGTTAAATAAGCTTTGCTTACCATCACTATCTGAATGAATACCGGCAATTTTGTATATGTATATTTGTGGTTTATCTTCCTCAGACCCAGAATTTTTAATTTTATTTATAATTCATAGCAGGGAACCAAAGCCAAAGCCTCGTAGTAGCAAATCTCGGAAGGTTATTTCACAGGGTGTTTTCACTTTGTTGAACATAATTTAAACATAATAGGATTTAGAATATACCTGGAATGATAAACAGAGGGGCCATGAGTGCCAAAAGCCTCAGAAAGAGTGCCACAAGCCATAAATAGTTGGACACATTTAGTGGACATAACGATCGTTTTGTTGTTATGTTGTTCTTTGACACTTTTTGGACACCTAGTGGAAAATCTAAAAAATCGCTTTTCTCTTTGATTACTGGACCAATTGCTTCGAAATTTTTAGTGGTTGAAGATGAAATTTTTCTACAGAAGGCTATTACTTTTATTTATTTCAAAAATTTCTGTTAGCTCTGTGAAATTTGTTTTTGTTTGCTATGACGTCACTGAACGTTCTGCGGACATTGGACGCCATTTTGTGTCCAACTGTACTGTTTCGCTTGGTGTGAATATATTTGTAGACTGTGATCTGACGGTACGGTAAACCGTACTGTTACTGCGAACAGACGTGTCCATATATTTGGGCGTAGCTCTCTTGTAATTAATTCATTATGATTCACAGCAGGGACCCGAAGCCGAAACCTCGTAGTAGCAAATCTCGAAGCAAGCACTCTAACTCAAACAACACAAAGAAAAGTTCGAATCAAACAACACCGACATCGGAGAGTACAATGACCAGAAGCAAAAAAAGTATAAAAAAGCTGAAAAATTTGAGAAGATATTGTAATTGTTAAATCGTTCGAATTAAATAAGTAAAAGAGTTGGAATGAAATGGGACACTTATTTATGCATAGATCATGCGAAGTGGAGTAATATATCGATTGTATTGTCTAACCGTTGAACGGTTTAAGGTATTGGTTCCTAAATGATCTGGGCCCTTTTTTAAAGACTTAACACTGCAGCTTCCTGTTCTTCCACCTCTAAAATCCGCAATTCAACGCACTCACTTAAACCAATATCTGTAATAGGCGCTATACATATTGCCTCATTATCAACGTCTTTCCAATAAGCAACAACACCTCCTGTACCTTGCTAAGCATAATCAATTTTTATAGTCTTAGTTTTTTAATCTTTGCCAAACAATTATTATCCTAGCCGAGTCAGAAAATATCCAATTATACATTGCCAATGCCATTGGTGGGCTATGATTGTTTGAGAGTAATGGGCAGTTGGAATATTTTGAGCTCGCAATGGAAACTTTTTTTCATACTGTTTGTGAAGGATTTGCGATTTGTTAAATTTAGTTTGCCTGCTGTAGCCCACAATGAAAATTACCAGACAATTCCACTTTTTTTCATGTAAGCAAGTCCTCTTTGATAGTACTAGTATTGATGTCTATTGAAATCCCCATGGAATTCACAGCATCACAACCTTTTCATTTAGACTGGATACTCATTCGACTTGCTTTTTTAGTTCATTTGGAATGTGTTATTAATCCATAATCCACATCTCTACAGTAAAGGCGGTTTATCCAAGTTCCTATGGGGTGTCCATAATGTCCTAAAATTTTTTCAAATTGCAAATGGAATTTATGGATATCATATATTGTTTGTACCTCACAGACGTATTAAATGAAATAAAAATACATGAACAATTACTGATTAAAAAACAGCAAACTTGATTAAGATATATCAAGAACTGACTTTATAACAAATTTGAAATTGTAAACGGACTTTATGGACACCCTGTATATCTGGAATCCTTGAGTGATTTGAAGTTGGTAACAACACAAAATGGTTTGCCTATGAATATGATGTTTTATCACCTTTCCTTTACTTGTGGTATTATATTAAAACATGCTTATAGTGGATGTTGTTATAATATAATAAACCTCATCTCTGACCTATGGTGAGTGTAGTGGATATTTTCTGGCTTGGCTATAATTTATACTTTTGCCTTATATTTGTATTTTTGTAAATATTCCCTTTCTGTATTGCTCTACTGGTACTTACCAGACCTGAACTGGTAATCAGAGAATATTCATCTGTATGATAAGGTAATCTTATCAGATTTTCCTCCCTCTTATCTAATTCAAAAATCCTATCCTCAACCTATAGAAGGACTTTCCAAACGAGTTTTAAGGGTCGCAAAGAGTACACCAAATCTCACACGAAGTACTATATGCGAAGACTTGTGATTTGAAAGTCGATTATTTAAACTAGTGCGAAGCTAAATTTATTTGATTTTGAGATAAATACATAGGATCAGAGAAGCGACACGCTTGCATAACAATGCAGATTTTGATCGTAAGAGCAGAAAAGCGATGCACTCTTCGGAAAAGGTTATTGTAAAAATTCTTAATATATTAGAATTTCCAAGAGAATTTAGGGGTTCCAAGCTAAAAAGTTTGGGAAGCCTTGCCATAGAACATGATTGCTGTTTTAATAGGTATTTTTGACTTGGCTATAATTTGTACTTTCGCCTTATATTTGTAATATTTCATTTTCGTATTTACTCTTTGGGCACATTTTTTGTATGTGATCCCTAAACAAAAATTATGAATTGTAATAATTTTTTAGGTTCCTTTTTTTGTAATTTGTATGTAATTATAAACTGGTCAGTGTAAGCTTTGCACTAAAAATTTCGCTAAATATCATTTATTCCATGGTGACCCCAAATTAACAGACTCTGGTAATATAGAGAATCCATGAAATCTTATAACTTTTTACAATTGCAAAGGGAATTTATCGATACCATATATTGTTTTGGACCTCATGGATGTAATAAATGAAGTAAAATTACTTGAACATTTACTGATTAAAAAACAACAAACTTGGTTAAGATATATTGAGAACTGACCTTATAACAAAATTGAAATTGTAAAAGGACTTTATGGACCAGAAAGAAAATAAATTTTATGCAAAGCGTTTTAGATTACAGGAAAATTTTGGATAAGATCATACTCAAACAGAATTGTTTTGGTTGAACTTGTATTATTAAAAACCATGAAATTCAGCAGTTTTCATGGAATTTATCTTTTCAAGTTTTATTTCAAATAAAAATGCAAAGCTGTCACTGCACTAAAAATTTGTTTCTCAAATATGTAATTCTATACTTCGCCAACTGTTAGTTGAATTTTAATTTCTCATTTAGCAATTGTAATCATGTTTGATACAACCTTTTTTGCATAGAAACACTCGTTCATATATAATAATATTTGCATTTTTATGTAGAGGTACATTTGTTATTTTCAAACCTATTATTAACCTATTGGTACTATACAATTGGAATGATTGTGCCGTGTTTCCTCCAAAATAAGACCGGTTCTAAGTTCAATTTTTTTTTTTGAAAAATAACACTTTGGCTTATTGTAAGGGAAGGGCTCATAATAAATAAAAAAAATTAAATTCAGGCTAGGTCTTATTTTTGAGGAAACACAGTAGGGATTCAAAATTTCATGGCAATTTCTATTTTTTTTTTGGTTCAGGCTGTTGACAGGCGCTAGATGGTTCCAGTCACCTCCTTCCACCTTTTCATTGGTCTTTGCTCTGTTTCGTACCTACCGGTAACTCACAAACAACAGGTTCACTCATTTCAGAAAATGTATGTGTGTGTCACTGAGTAAGCTACATTAACATGGCACGCTTCACATAGATCTAATACATATCTTTCGAAACGCCGAATATAACGTTAGTCGTCAGGTAAAACAAAACAAAAAACACCCTTACCCCTTAGTTTTGCATCTTAATTTTTGAGTTTTTAACCTGACTTATATGCTAGGATGTATGGTATGTTAAAGTGACTTCTAATTTCTTAATAGTTGAAAGCAGAAATTTTGTTTTATTCAAATAGGCATTGGGAAAGGACAGTCCATTCAAAATCAAGAGATTCTCACAGAAACACAATAAGTGTTTTGCCAAACACCAGTGTTCCATGGAACCCCCGTTGAATACCACTGGACCTGATAAACTATTTCGATCCGTAACAATTCATGATATACTAATGCTAAGTTTATGTTAAAATGCTTCCGAATTGTGTTGTAGGGTAGCATAGCCAGCATAAGTTCCATTCATCGAAGGGAATATTCCTGTAGAGCCGGTAAATTTTGTTTATTCAAAAGTGTTTGATTCTAGGCCCCATAGACAGATTATTCAATGCTCAAGCTGAAAAAAAAACTGTTTTTGTTTCATTCAATAACTTTAAATATGTAGTAGTATGTTCATTTTATCATTCGTTTTTTAGTAAATAGCAAATATCTGCACCTATCTCATATATGTCTTAGCATTGTGCTTTTTGTATATAAATGCATTTTGTATAATTTTAGCCATATTATTTTTGTCATTTTTCTTGACTATTTAGGAAAATAAATGAATGAAATCATGGAATGTGTCTGTCTTGATTCTCTATGAGGGAGATTGCTAATTCAAAGGCTAAGTTAAGACGACTGATTTGAAAAAAAAAGGGGAAAATTAGTTTTAAACTTCTGTAACTTTTTATTGAAGTTCTTTGGTGAGCACACAAGGGCAAATATCACCTACCGTATTTCCCGGCGACTTTCGGCCTGATTTTGGGGGGGGGGGTTGTGTTATTAGGCGAGTATGATAATTTTCATTTTTTTGGTGTCGCCTTATTATGTATTAGGTAATGTTCTTTTATAGTGAACACAATTAGATTAAAATTTAAAGACAGTTTGAATTCCCTGGTTTTTATGGATTGAAAATTATGCTACAAGAAAACGCCATTATAGGCTAGGCTATTCGCCCTCGTTTTGAAGTGTCAGGGATACATACTCTTCATTATTTTCTAAAACCTTATAGCAAAGAATTTGACAATACACATCTGTATGTTGTGCATGCGGTTCCAGGCCCTGCTTTTCTTGGAGGGCGATTGTCAATTCGAGGGCTCCAACCCAAAAATGGAACAAGAAAAAGCTGTTTTGAGAAAAAAATGGTAATGTATATTTTGGAGTTTTATACTTTTTATCAGAAAATTTAGTCAATATTGCCTCAAACTGCTTCTCTTAGAAGGTAATTGTCAATCTGAGGGATTTAACCCAAAAAGTGAGACATGAAAAAGCTGTTTTAATAAAATATATTTTCCATTTTAATCTTACCGTATGCAAATTTTCATTCAAAATTTTGAATTTTGCTTCAAACTATGATTGGATACCATATTATGTAACACCTAGTACAGTGGTTCCCAAATGGCGGGAGGTGTATACAATTTTTTTAGGGGGGTGAAGCTGATCAAAAGTGAAAATATTTGTTAGATTTGATCTTGTCTGCCTTATTTTGGATATTTACGTTCTATCCATGTATTTTCAACATGTTTTTTTTTAATAAAACATACTTTCGCCTTATCGTCTGGTATTCATCTAGTTGTTTTTGAGGTGGGGCGCGACACTTGACAAATTCATAAGAGGGTGAACAGCTTAATAAGTTTGAGAACCACTGATAGCTCAAATGAAACAAATTCTGATTTTTTTTTCTTTTGTTACTCTCAAATTAAGTAATGTATCTCAAATTATTTTTCATCAAAGCCTATGATACAAATTTGATTTGTTTCTTTTGCTGGCAATATCGCACTTGTTTTTCTAGTAGGGCAATTGTTAATTCGGGGGCTTTAACCTTGAAGAGCGAAACTGAAAAGCTGTTTTAGTAAATTGTAAAAATGTAACTTATTTATTAAGTTTATCGGAGTTTATGAAATTGAGATTAAAGGGCACCTAAAAAATTTTCTAATAATAATTTTTTCAGAATTTTAACATTCCCCCTCCCCAAATTAACTGTATTAGAGATACATCCGCTTGATTTTCATAAAACCCTGTAGCGAAAAGTTTGATAATACAAATTCACATATTGTGCTTGCCACACTGTTCTAAATCTATTTTACGAATATACGGGGTGTCGTCTACAAGTCCCTTCACAATTTCATTTGTTATGAAGACAGTTTTCAATATATCTTAACCAGGTTTGTTGTTTTTCAATCTTTTCAATCAGTGATTGTTTAAGTATTTTTTACTTCATTTAGTACGTCTGTGAGGGCCAAAACAATATATGGTATCGATAAACTCTTTGCAATTTTAAAAAATCTTCATGGACACCCTTTAGAAATATGATTGGTGAGAATAGAAGCTTCAGCTGGTAAACTCTTTTCGTCACTAGAATATGGATTCACTGGGTCAAATGTAGAAATATTATTACATGCTTCTTTGTTGGTCTGATTCTTTCCTGGATGAACTTTATAGTCTGGACCTTTTTCTCTCGTTTACTGAATTTTGATTGCACGTCGAAATAGTTTTTGAGTGAAAATTTCAGTCTTGTTTGCCAGAAGAAGTTTCTGGCTTTAAGGCTGGATAGGTATACATTGTATGCTTCTGATTGTCATCAAGTTTATCATTATTTTTTGTAAATTCCTCTCTGCCTGGCTGTTTTTGGTATCACTGTATCAAGTAAAAATTACATATTGTCATTAGCATTCATTCCGCTGACCGTGTGCAATTATTCTAGCACTAACAAATTTAGTTGGAGGCTGTTAACTTTGCCTTGAGAAAACTTTCATAAAAATCCACAGCTTCGGTTATGAGTGGATGGTTGTCCCTTCATCTCTAAACTGGTACAATTAGTATGTCTAGTGTAAAAATTAAACTATATTCGCATATTTTTAGTTTTAGAATATTGCAATTGGGCTCACAATCGACATAGTTATTAAGTGGGAGTCTACATAATCGACTTTGCCAATACAGCGAACAATGCCTAATTTCCCGAACAATGCCTAATTTCCCGAACAAGCAAGTAAAGTTGGAACATGTGCATGCTAGAAAAAGACAGACATTATCATTTACCAGTTTTAACTGTATTTGGTGGAGCGCCAACACACAAAATGCAATACCAATTGGGTTTCTTTGTGACTAAGTAATAATCCTTCTATGCTGGTGGATCTGCATGCATATGAATGTGAGGGTACTGTAGCAAGAGTATAAAGATAACTATCCTATATGATTCAAGAGTCTTGCTGCACACTAACACGAATACAGCAAATATCTTGACTCACACAACATGTACGCTTGCATAACCTATTGAAACACAGGTTATTGCTACCTACCGTAGGTTGTTAAATTATCTCTCATTCCGGAGAAATCCTGCACTCTGGCCCCAGATGCCATGGGTCAATCAAGAATGTTACTGTAGTTTAGTTCTATCTAATTCCCACTCTGTGAAAAGCCTAAGATTGCCTTCACCAGCCCGATGTCATTAAACTCATTATAAAGGTACGACTTCATTTATTGAAATTTGGCCATAGCAGTTACAAAGAATCACTGCAAATCAATCATAGCTTACAGTAAAATAAAAGTAAGAAATAAGTTCATATAACATATACATTCCTAGACGAAGTTTAATATTTTTTTCAAGTCTTCCAAAGTTAAGACAACTAGTCGCATAGATTCCTAGGAGAACTATTTTGCTAGACAATCAGACATTCAGAACAAAACATTCAAGTTGTTTCCACCAGTTGTGAGAGTTTCTCTATTTATTTTCCTGTTAGATTTCGCTGTTCAGATAGCGAGTTTTATGACGCAAACGAAGAAAATGGGCATTTTCAAAAACTAAACATGAACAACAATACGCCCTTCAAAAATTGAGCCAAACTGTATTCCATAAACATTTAAATTGAATTGAAATCATTGCCAAGTTGTCAAAAGTCCATTTTTGGAAGGTAAACAGGAAATATGAAGAATATAACCAGAACATACTGTATAAATGACAGTTTTAATCTACATAAGACTTGAGGAAATTTCAATCTGCAACCAATACCATCTCTAGTTTAAGCAGAAAAAATTGGAAACAAAAAAGCACATTGCTTGAAATATCAGACGTGGAACTCGTCCTTGATGCGTTTAGGATTAAAAAAAAACAGTAGAAAAGATCACTACGAAATGTGTGTACACGATAAAAATATAATAGGGAAGGTCAATCTGACCTTTGACCCTGTATGAACTAAGAATGTTGCACAGTTGGAATTATGCAGTGTTAGTGATCTGTTCTTGCCTCTTGGCCCAAATTAAACCTTTTCACCAAAGCGAAGATTCAACTTTGATAGACAGTGGTTCACAACTCTTTTTATTTTGTTACCCAAATTCTGTGGCCCACTCAGTAGGAAAAACAGCACCATTCATTCATTGCCACTACAATTAGAATTAAACTATAGTGACACGAATGAAATTAGCATCAAAATGTTAACTAACCGCGTGGCCCACTGGTTGAGAACCACTGCTGTAAGAACTACTTGACGGCCTTAGCTTTTATTGAAGTATTGTGAAATAGTAAGTCTGATTAGGCTTCATTACATATGTTTGTTGAATAATTGTCTCTTGTAATAAAAATTAAAAAGTCTCTCAAAGAAATCATCTCAACTTGTTCCTGTACGTTTTGCATTAATAAGAATTCAATTTCATATGATAATTACCAAATATGCATTTTATAAAAAACGATACAAAAAATAATTTGCCAACAAAGTATGTACTTTAATTATAGTTTTGGTGCAAAAAAGTGTGCCGAGACACTACTTTTTACCCTTCTAGTCGACACTATTTTGATTTTTTAATGCAGATTATAAAGCGTGACAAATTGAAATACTTTTTTTGTACTTTTCAACTAAGGCCAGTTCAAATATAGTCCCCAGATTTAGTTCTTATAGCGTAGTAACACGTCTTCGCCTCACAGCCCAAAGTAATCCTGAAAAATCCACCGTTTTTTTATCATTTTACATTCAATTTTGGAGGTGAATTTAAGACACTTCCATTTCAGTCTCCTCTTCTTTATCAGCACCGTTTGTGAGACCATTTTTATCTTTCCCAGGGATTTTTCCAGATTGAAGCATTCTTTTTAGATTTTCTATCTCTTCAAGAGATTTTGCTTTCATGATTGCCTCCTTGATAGCTTGCTTATCCTGAGCGGACGGCCCTGAAATGGAGGCAGTCGGCTGTGTTGGTTTTCCTGGAGTGAAAGTCCTATTCTTTGATTTTTGTTTGATGTCATTGAGCAGTGTTTCCCCTTTTTTCGAACCGAATAGTTTTTTGGCTTCTTCTCGCTCACGTTGTTTAACTTTACGAAAATCTAAAACTCGTACTTGTGGTAATTTGTGAATAACATAAAGTCTATATTCTTTGTGATGAGTAACAGGATTGCGCAATAGGCTCAAAAATTCCAAGTGTTTAAATCCTTCCAAATAATCAAGATCGGTCAATTCCGCAATTTCGTTGTTCGTGAAGTAAAGCTCCTTCAAGTTAGGGATACTCAGATGAATATCTTCTTCGATTCTACAAATACGGTTATTGTTAAACATCAAAGATCTTATCCGTTTGAGCAACGGAAAACCTTCAAACTTTCGTAAATCATTATCAGAAAAGTCTATTGTGTCAAACTGGTCCAAAGTCGCACCTAAATTTTCAATGACAGGAATTTTGTAGCCTCGTAAGATCAGTTCACGATCTCGTACAGCGTTTACATACTGGACTGCTTGCTCGATGATCTCTGGGGTTAATTTCACCATGATCAAGTTTCAACAGCTTTTTTAGAAAGAATAAAAACTCTATTCCAGTGTTATCATACCGATTATAGAGTCAGAGAATATCTGAAGATATAATAAAATGTTAGTAGATTGACAATAAGGGTACTCCCGTAGTGTGTGTACCAGATTAGGGTTGGGACATAATTCTATTCTGGTTTTCCATATTTTAGTTCTGTTACGAGTTTGGGGACTGTCTTTGTAAGCTGAGTGAATATACCCCCTGCCCATCGGTTTCAACCCCATTACATAACTTGATGTAAAGTATGCGAACAAAATTGGGTTACCTTCATTTTGGCAAACATACTTCTGGAGTGCCACAAGAAGGACAAAGTATCAAACTCACAAGTCAAGTCAAAATTGATATTGATTTCAAGACAAACAAGTAACTAATTAATCCCATACCCGACAATTCAGGGATGGCCAAAACCGAATAGTTCACTATTTCGAATACATTCGAAATTATTTTTTTCGAATATGAAATTTCGAATACTTCGAAAATAAAATCCATTAATTGAAGCTTATCTAAATGTATGTAGGAATTTCCATACAATAAGCAATGGAATAACTGCTATCTACAAGTTACAACCTAGCTATATTACCAGGCACTTCATATTTGCAGATTATTGCAGTATATATTTTATATACCATGGGTCATGTTAACAGAATTAAATTAATACGGCAATAGTGGTATCGATGATGGATTTGAATATTTGCGCAACACAAAATCATCCTAGTAAAACGCCCATACTTTTAAATACCAACCATTATCCAATTTGCCAAAAAGCGGGATAAAGTATGAGTTTTTTTTTCGATTTGTGACAATTTTTTCGTGAGTACAAAAATACGAATCAAAAATTAATTATATTCGGGAACTTTACCACACATTTTAAGTCCGAAGATCGCCGTTGTATGTTTGAGTAATAATACTTTTATTATTTTATAAATATGAAAATAGGAATCAAAAACTATTTATAATCGGGTAGTTTACCACACATTCTAAGTCCACAGATCGCCGTTGTATTTTTTAAATACGAAAATAGGAATCAAAAATTAATATTAATCGCGAGTTTGCCACACAATTTATGTCCACAGATTGCCGTGATATTGTGCCGAATATAATTAGTTTTTGATTCTCATGTTCGTACTCACGAAAAATTGTCACAAGTCGGAAAAAGAATTTATATTTTATCCCGCTCTTGGGAACTAATTTGGATAATGGTTGCCATTGGTTTGTATTTAAAAGTATGGACTTTTTACTAGGATGATTTTGTGCTGCGCAAAATATTCGAATCCATGACCGATACCACTATTTAAAATGCCTTACCGTGTTAATTTAATTCTATTATCATAACTCAAATGTTGGTAAATCGGGCAGTTTACCACACATTTTAAGGTCACAGATCGCCGTTGCATTTTAGAATTATAATAGTTTAATTATTTTGTAAATACGAAACCGAAATTATAATTGGGCAGTTTACCACGTATTTCATGTCCACAAATACCCGTGGTATTTGGTATTAATACTTTCGTTATTTTATCAATATAAAAATAGGAATCAATATTTAATAAAATCGGTCAGTTTACCACACATGTTATGTCCACAGATTGTCGATACAACCATGAGTTACGTTGAACAGAATTAAATTAATACGGCATGACATTTTGAATGCTGGTGCCAGTCATGGATTGGATTATTTTGCGCAACAAAAAATCATCCTGGTAAATGATCGATTCTTTTAACTATCGTTATCAGAATTATTTGCCAGAAATTATTTTCTAATAAATCGACTTGTTTTTCCAACTTGTGACAATTTATTGGATATCGTAACAATGACTGCTATAAATACCGTATTTCCCGGCTAATAAGTCCACATGGCAAATAGGACGATGTCTATTTTTAGCACTGCAAAAAGGGCTTTTTCCATATAGGCCTCCAATAACACGGGTAGAAAAATTGTCTCCCTGTTGTTCAGTTATACTGATATGCGCTAATAATTTTAAATGTTTAGAACCAGATCATGTTAGTTTGGTAGAATCATACTCACGGAATTAACTATTTTTAAAATTGAGCGGTAAATTTAAGTGTAAAGCGGCAATCATTTGGACAACCTATTAACCAGAATGTTGAAATAATTTTGGAATGTGATAAGTAATACACTGTACGTCCACAGGTTATTACACAGCTGTGTTTTCCTGTCGTGTTCTGCTGAATCGGCAAAATGAAAGGGTCACAAATCACTTTATCTCGGTGGCCTAGAAAAGCGAATTATTAGCCGGGAAATACAGTAATTGTCAATTTTTCAACGTAATGGAAATGAATTTGTAAATTAGAAGCCTTGTAGACGAATGTCGGCAATGTCCACCCACGCAAACGTGCAAATGCGTCGCAACACTATGCGACGTACGGTCGCACAGAATATATACAATCAAAGTGCCGATTCTAATTCATCGTCATTACAATACGCGAGACAGCGTGAAAATCCGTTTGAAGATTCCCGTAAAACGAAACACCACGTTTACGGCGAAAAGTGGCTACTATTCGGAATTATTCGAAAATCAGCCGAAAAGGTATTCGAATACTTTGATATTCTAATACATTCGAATATTCGATTCGTTTTGGACAACCCCGCCCGACATGGAATGGTAATTGGACGATAGGCCGTGTGATTATGTAAATCCTATCCTATTAATAAGACAAACTAATAATAATAATGATAAAAAATTCCCTAGGTCATGCAAACTTCAAACATGTAATATATGTTCAATGACAAAACTGCTTTAAGCATACCCTATTGAACTTGGATTCCATTTCAGAAATATCATAAATAAAATTTAAGAGTTAAAAATTAGTGATTCCCACAAAGCTTCTTAGAAACTGAGGAATGAAATGAACATGGAGATCACTTATATCACAATTGAGATTTCTCTCGATAAAGCCACATCAGAAAATTGGACTCAATCCCATTTTGACCTCCTAAACTACATACCTCTGTAAATTGATATAAGCCAGGGGTCGGCAACCTACTGCCCCGATCCAGCCCACGACACTTCACTGAATTATAGTATCAAAACAGCTGTTTTGACGATTATATTCTTTACGTAACCGAATTTATTGCGAGACACGTGTAGACTAAATTATATTATAATCTGAGTATAAAATTCACAATGACTAGTTTAATGATGCTAAGTGCAAAGGGTTCAATAGCGCCAAAAATATTCAAATGGAACTTTTTGAGATGCAATGCAATGAGGCAATAAATTTACATTATATTCGAGAGATGTATCACTGCTTGATTTTCATTATAAAAACTATCATCCGTTCGGTTTTCAACTTTCTACAGATATGTGCGGTCCGCCAATGATGTGCAACCCTTAATTTTGGCCCGGGAGCGACAAAAGGTTGCCGACCCCTGATACAGTGATATAAGCCATATTACAGACTGACAGGCCTGTCTGGCTGGGGTATGAATAGGATAGGATAGGATTTACATATTTATCCCGGGGGAGAGGAAAGCCGATAAGACGGCTTATCCATATGGCGAACCACGGCCTCTCGTCCGGTTACCATTCCAAGTCGGGTATGGGATTAGTTTTTTACTGTATTGTTTGTTTTCGGAAGCATGGACTTGGTGGTGGAGGAAGCCGTAACCGACCAGCGGTTACGTGAACCACCCAACGACGGCGAGGAGTCCAGCAATCCTCTCGCACATAACCACCCCTGCATGGGATTCGAACCTGCGAACCCACGCAGAGTAATTAGGGGTGCGGTGGCGAGCGTATTCCTAACGCTTAGCCCGTTGAGCCACACCGCCGCGCCGAATAATACCAGAATACTACAGGGATGCCAACTCACAATAAATACAGAAAAAAAAACTATAAAAAATACATAGTCTACATGTAGAGATATCGGTACCGGTACCGTATAACAACTGCCCTAAAATTACCGTAAGTTAAAACTCTTTGATTTGACAAATAAAACAACTCTGACTTTGAATTACCGGTACCGGTACGGAAACGGACCCTTAAATTATCGGAACGGGGTGGAATATCTACCTAAACTTCAAACAAAACTATCTTTAACACAGTAAAGCTATCCCATTATCTATGTAAGAGTTTAGTTGGGGCCTGGGACTGGAATGGCAGAATGGTGACAAGGCAATTCACCCAAGTTAGAAACTACTCGTGAAATTCGTTTTATATTTTACCGGTTTGAATTTAACACGACGCAGGGAGACCAATAATTAGAACTACCTTTTTACCTATAATATGTTGAAAAAAAAAATTAAAACATTGGAAGAACACAAAAAATAAATTATATAGTTATTTGAAAAAAAATATGAAAGATATTTTCCCACGTGATAAATAATAAATGTCAGAACAAGAGAGTAAAATATCACGCGCGGTCTTTACTGTTGCCATATAGTTATAGTTCTCATATTGTATTCCATAAAATTAAAAAACTAATCGTATTTTCTAGCATTGTAAAATTTGGAACACACAAAATCTTCCAATTAAAAACTTTAAAGACTTCCACCCTAGAAAAGTTATATCAATTCAACTTAAAATTGAACATCCGATGCAGTGGCACAAATATCTACAAAAATCTGGCAACAGTATTTCATTTTTATCTTTAAGTTTTTCGCTTATCGGAATAATGTCGGAAGATTTGAAGAAATTTCTCTATCGGCAACTCAGCAACGTTGACGGTCTGTACGCAATAGTTGTTTCAGACAGAGATGGAGTACCTGTCCTGAAAATTGCAAACGAAAAGGCACCTGATTACACCCTGCGGCCTGCATTTTTGGGGACTTTTACCTTGGCAACTGATCAAGCCAGTAAACTTGGCTACGGAAGAAATAAATACATTATATGCTCGTATAGTAACTACAATATTATAAAGTTCAATAGACAGCCTTTGACCGTCAGTTTTGTAACCAACAGTGAATGCAACATAGGACTAATTCTGGATCTTGGAGAGGAGTTACAAGAATATCTTGGTGGTGTGAAGCAGGCAGTTGCAGACTTATCAAAAACATTTTATAACGCAAACTGATTATTTTGAAATGCTTTGTTGAATTGTGATGATTTTTGTTATGTGTAAGCCAACGCATATTTGATTTTGTAATTTAATCAAGAAATTTATATATGTTATTTGTGATTTATTACTTTTATTGCTAGTATTCTCATGTTAAATTGATCATTTTTCGCATATCTCATAGGTTCAAATATGTCAGAGTCTGATGAGGGCGTATCGACCTCATTATTAGGTAATAGAGCTACATCGCCACCTGTTGCCCAGCGATCTTCAAAATCTTTCGTCTCTCAAGTGAAGAACACGCTTTTCTCGTTCATTAAGAAAGCAAAGGGAGAAGCAGATACTGTATCACAAAAGCAGAGAGGATTGGAATCCTTCACTGAGAGAGTTGCCACATTTACTGTATCAAAATGGATGGCAAAACCTCTTGCGTTGAGTCCTCCCCTATTTGCTCAATATGGTTGGCAATGTATCGGTGTAGATACTGTTAAATGTTGTTCATGTGCCGCTGTTATGTGTGTCCGTCTTCCATGGCCTGATGCTGATAATTATCGCCAGCAGTGCTTTGATTACCGACAGAGAGTTATAACATCTCACATGAAAATATGTTCATGGCCGAGTTACCCATGTTCCAATTCATTTGTTTCTCCGTTTTTTCACAGTAGTGCATCACCAAGTGAGATCTTATCGCAGTATCAAGAACGTGAAAAAAATCTCATAAAACTTGGAACAAAACTCCCGAATTTAGATCCAAACATTACAACTGCTCTGAACTTGTCAAAGGCTGACCTAAGAGTTCTGTGTCAAACACAGCAGGATTCAGAAAGTAACGCGAGTGATACTGTCGAATCTCAATCTAACTTTACTGTTGAAATAACAGCGGCAATACTTGCGATGTGTGGTTGGGATACAAGTCACAGTTTAGATTCAAAGTCACCAACTATCATATGTGAAAATTCAGGAAGGGTAATGTCTCTACGAAACTTTTTCCAACTTGGAAGTAACTCTCTATATTCTGACAGCGATGAGTCCCATTCCCAAGCAGCTGCACTGCTTACTTCTAATGGTCAATCAACATTAAAAAGACGATTAAGCACAACAAATGGTGAAGATTCTCAGTCACCGATCAAAAAATTGAAAACGGCCACCGAAAGCGCTTTAGGTTCTCCTCGAGGAAAAACAATCACAAAGCAGAACTTCCATCCTTTGGAACAACATTCACCTTGGTCGTTTTGGATTACTACTCTAAACCCGATATCAAAAGTTGAGTTTGAAAGTGACGCTGCTAAAAAGGGAGCATCCGTAAGTGACAAAGATCAAAATGACGATTTATATCATTTTATTATCAATCCCACCATGAAGGAAGCAAAGCCAGGGTGGTTGGCAGTCAAAAACACAATCCTCGATAAAAAGAACACAAGTGAAAAAGTGCAAAATGTTACAAACGAAAGTTCGAACTCTATTTCGGATGGAAATTCACCAGCCAGAGATCAAACGAACCTCGACGCCAAAATTGCTGCTTCCGGAAGTCCGGTAATTCATGTCAGAAAACTGTTAAAAGAATGGTCTCGATATAAATAGATTTTCATTATTCAGTCATATTGATCATACAAGAAATAACACAATATTTCTAGCATAAGATTTTTTGGGTCTCGTGTATCGCACCTAACGTACTTCTAATGGGCATAGCATAACAATTTTTTGATATGTCAATCCTAACTCCCATCTGACTACGCCATCCAAAAATTACGCCTACTAGAAGTATGTTAGATACAAAACTACATGAGACCCGATTTTTCCAACCAAACGCAGGAATGCTTGAAAATTATATTTGAAATAATGAATAAAGTCGAGAGAATTTGCATATATTAGAAATGCTGTTATTGAACACTTTAAGATGAGAATGCTGCTCTTTATATGAAATAACACAATATTTAAGGTATAGGTATATGAAATTGCAAAAAAGAAAATGATGGCATATTGTTTCAGATACGCCTCTTAAGTAGTGGAACAGTGGTTTCTATCAAATTCTGCTTGCATCTGGGTGCTTTAAATATTTTATTAAGGTCGAAGTTCAAGTATTTTTGAATCTAACCACGAGTCAAGATTTACCAGATTCACTTTTTGTTTCATCAACGCCTTTATTAATGACTTTGCTTTCGAATCATTTTGTGTGATTGTCTAATGCAGTGGTGCTCAGACGGTGGGGTGTGCCCCACTAGAGGGGGATAGACAATTTTTTTGTGGGGGCGTGAAGCTAATTAAAAATAAAAATGAATGGTACACATATTACATTCCGATGTCCGCCATCTTGGTTTGCATACCTCGGGAGCCCCACAATTTTTGATGGGGCGCGAAGCTAATTAAAAATATTTGTTACATGTGATCTTCTGAAAAGGGGGCGCAAGTTTGAGAACCACTGGTCTAGCGTTTTTGTTTTATTTTAATACAATGTTCACATAGCATGGTAATTTACAGAGTGGTTCATACTTATCGAGTCAAATTTGGCACTCTATTGAATTTTTCAAATGTTATTTCTCATTCAATATTTGTTTTATTATTTGTCGCAGATCTAATTATTACATCACTAGTGAATGTACACCCCGATAAGTTTTGGATTTGTAGCAAAGACCTAAAATGGAAGCAAATACAAGTAGAGTAGACTGGCCAAGATTGGAAAATACTTCCTTTGATCGTAGCATTGACCATCTTCGAAACGTAAAAGGCAACAGAAGAGCACATCAAGATCCGGGTCAAAATAAGTCCTTTGTTTCACAACAATTGTGTGCATTGGAGCATAAAAATAAAATCTGCGTCACAAAACTTGCGAAAATTCGTCGAAATAACTCTCAATTGGAAAATGATAATCACATGTACAGAGACAAACAGATTTCAATGATGGTGGAACACGCTGCTAACCAACAGAAACTAAAATCTGTAACGGAGAAAAATATTAAGCTCAAAAAGGAAGTTGAAGCTAAAAAGAATATCTTGAAATACGCATTCCTTTTACGAGAACAATTCGACAATGTCATGAGTGCGATTGACTCAGTACAAAACGGAAACAATTCAGATTTTTCTCTCAATTTTCAAATCCCGAATCTTTCAAACGATGCCAATCTTACTTTAAATAACATCACCGAACGAAGCGGAGCCACAAACTCTATCTACAAGGAAAATCGTGACTCTCAAAAGGATGAAATTTCAACTTCGAAGGCGAAGGAGAGATTTTTGAGTAGCAGTATAACACAGAGGCCTAGGAGAGTTATGAGAAAACAACCCATAGTGGAAGATAAGGCTTTAGAAAATGGTGATGGCGTGCTATCAGTAAATAGGAATGACTATGAAGACCAACACAGCCCTAAATTTATGTCATCTGAAAAGACTGATAATAACCAAATGTCTCTTTTGGCAGAGGAAGAAGAGTTCTCACAATCTGATGGTCAAGAAATTTTAAATGATTGCGAAGATTTGCATGCATTAGATTTAAATATTTCTGCAGACTCTGACTTCAACTTCAGTGTTAACCATGGTCGTCCAAGTTGTATGAATTTGAATTTAAACATTTCTGGTAGTTCTCATTCATTGGTTAATGAAAGCTTGAATGATGATTGTGAAGAAATAGACGATGCTAACAATGATTGTGATGTCATGAATGGGACTGTTAGAAGTGAAAATGTAGCATCTGTAAAAAATGCAGAAATAAGTATTTCAGAAACTACCAGCCCAAACTGTTTAAATCTCTCTGATAACTCTGATGGAAAATATAGTGACAGTGCTACAACACCACGCAATCCTGAAAACACAACTTCGGAAGATCAAAACGTCAACGAACCTTTTAGTAACCTTAATCCCATTAAACCCAAAGCTAAGCTGAGCAAAGGAATTAGCAAGTTGGGAACTAAGAAAGATTTGATGAACAAAACTGCTTATGATTTCCTAAGCTGTTCGAGTGATAGTTTCATACTTGATGAAAATAAAAGAATCAAACTGAACAATTACAACGATATAAATAAAGAAAATTCCGCTCCTCGGAGGACAGGACGTAGAGCTGCTTCGGGCGTTTCATACGCAGAGCCGAATCTGAAGGGCAAACTACGTCGTGGGGATAAAATTGCAGATGATTCATTGTTCACGGATGCTCCACAGAGTCCACAGAAAAGACGAAAGAAGAAAAATTTTCAGAAAACATTACAGAATAGAGCTTAGTGATCAGTCCCTTTGGTGTTTAGATTTAAATTGGAATGCATATGTCCTTTTGGATATTTCTGTCATTTTTTAAGTTTGTAAAGTATTACTGGGAACTTACATACAAATTTATTTATGTAACGTTAATCTTACAGAAATGTGTTAATGTGCAATGATACTCTTGGATTAGCTGGTGCTCCCGTAGTGGTGTACCAGGTTAGGCCATAATTTTATTCTGATTTTCCTTTTTTTTAGTTACGGGTTCGGGGACTGTCTGTGTTAGCGGAGTAAATATACCCCCTGTTCATAGGTTTCAGTCCCTTTACACAACTTAATGTAAAATAGGTGAAAAAAATCAGTTTCTTTCATATTGGTAAACACACTTCTGGATCGCTATCTTTACTCTTTTTGTAGTATTGCTTTGTTATTTTCATTTAAATCCAGCATTGCAAAGCATAGAAGCAGATAGTTTGTACCACAAATTCTATGTCGTTTGTATGTTATGATCAACCAATCTTCACCGTTGATTTAAAATGCTGATCATTTAACCGGATTCTTGGACTAAGATGGTAAATGAACCCATAACTGGTCGGTGTTGATATGTACCTTTTTGCGATGAAAAAGCCACAGGGTTGGAGTCTTGTTAGCTCAGCCAGACAACCAGCAAATTTCTGAAACTAGGAAGATTTTCTTAGTAAAGTAAAATTAGCGCGCCTGGCATTGTGGCACCCAGTTGAAATCGCGGAAGTACAACTTGCTACTGATAGCTCAAGAGAACATTGCATTGTTAGTTCTTTTTGTCTTGCCAGTGATATCATATTTATATTTAAGCATTGCTTTTTCGTTTCCAGATGAATTCGCTTTATAACACTGCCTATTTTTACACATTTGTAGTTATAGTTCTGCCTGGTTCTATCTTTTTTTAGTAAGATTACACCAAATGTTTGTAGTTTTTTTTATTTATGTTTGTTGGGTAAATTCATGATTGTATTCTATTTGGGTCAATGAAATTCAATGTTACTAGGGTGGTGAATTGTTAGTTGAACTTAGAGAAAATCAATTTTTGACATTGAAAACTTTGGCGTTTGCGAGCATTCAATAGACTTTTGAGAACATTTGGTAAAATTGGTACTCCCGCAGTATGTCTACCAATTGAGGGTTGGGGTCATAATTTTATTCCGATTATTCTTATTTTAGTTCTATTAAGAGTTTGGGGACTGTCTGTGTTAGCCAAGTAAATATCCCCTCTGCCCATAACTTTCTGTGCCTCTACACAACTTGATGTAAAATAGGCGAACAAAATTAGTTACCTACATATTGGTGCACATACTTCTGGGCCGCTTTAAAATCAATGCATTTTGAGTTTTAGTAGAAGGTTTTTATCACTGTTGCAAGCCTGCAATTCAGACCTTAAATGAAGACTTGCTAGTCTCCGATCTCATATCACGCACGTAAATTGAAGTAAAAACTTCTGAAAGTCAAGTTTATTTTTCCTAACCAGTAAAAATGTCAGTTCAACACAAAATACGAAGAGAAAGGATAATCATTAATCACACATTTCAACTGGGGAAGGGAAATTACAATGAACCAAAGCTGGTTATCGAGCATGGACACCCAAGGATATAATTAAAAAGTTCGTTAGTTTATAGTTCGTAACCAGTGGCAGCCATGGGCACCGTTTGAACAGGGGCGCAAAAACGGCAAAAAGTATTAATTATAAAAAGTTTCAATGAAATAATTTGAAATTGGGAATAACTGACACTCGTATTTTCACTCAAATAATAACGAACAAGTACTTCAATTCAATAATACAACTATCAAGGGAGCGCATTTTTAGACTTTGCCATGGGCGCTATTTTACGTAGATACGCCACTGTTCGTAACTACTGTTTTAGTCGAGGGTACTCTATAGAAAAGTTATCATATACTCTCTAAAAACATAATTCAAGCAAATGGGGAGCATTTTCATGGTCTGCCCTGTTGTACTTTCATTGCACCTCCTTGTCACGTTTTCTTCATTAAGCGAAACTTGTTATAGCAGTATTTATTTAACCTAACGTCCATGTAAATCAGGGGTCGGCAACCTTTTGTAATCCGCGTGTCATTTTATGATTAACGAGCACCTTCGCGTGCCAAATATTTTTATGTGTTTGGTTTTCATAGTCACCTACCTGATTTGAATAGTAAGAGGATGTAAAACAGATTTATTTTATAGGATAACAATAGGTTTGAAGGCCACTCACGATTAGTTTTGTAGCTAGAAACAATGTGAACGCGTCAATACTGAAGAAAATAAAATTTATTCTATCATTTTTGTTATGGATATATCCATGTAACGGACGCTGAAATGGTCAATATTTTGGCTTCCGTGAGGTACCCACCAGGCGCGCGACCAGGATTTTCTAAAAGGGGGCGGGGTAAAAATGGAAAACAGTCGCTGTGATTACGCGCTCTTAAGAAGACCTGACTTTTTAAGCGTATACCGACTTTTCTGTCCCGTAAAATATTCAATTCATGACAACTACGACAATCTAAAATTTCTTTCTATTCTATATTCATATAATTGTGTCCAGCGTTACTCGCGGTTGCGTATTCTTGCGTCAAAATATAAACATTAGTAGTCTAATATACCACCCAATCTGTTGATGTAAAAATATGAGATAAACATGCCTAATTGTATTTAGTTTCGATACTTTTCTGCGATCTTGCAAATTGTTATCGTGGATAGAATAATCTCAAGATCTTTAATAAATTTCTCTTTAGTGCCATTAAATACATATACTCGTAAAGTATATCAATTACCCAAAAATACATATTCATCGCCTCGAAATCCCTGCCGAACGACTTTTTCGACGGATAATAATGATTTTTCGGTTGTGCAAAGTAATCAGTCCATGACCGATACGAGCATATTTAAAAATGTCCTGCTTTGTTAATTTACTTGTCTTCAGTTCAACCTGCGGTTGCGTCGACAAAATAAAGGCATCACTACTCTGAAAAGCCGTGGCCATCCGCGGACATGAAAATGTGTGGTAAACTTTATTACATCTAGTTTTGATCCGTATTTTGCAAATTCGACAAATCTGAGCTGTAGCTGCAACACTGACTCCGCTCTATCGCAATGATGCCACTCAGATTATTTTTAAGATAAAATCGTTGGAAAAATCCCCAAGTTTGCTATAAAATCTCACGGAGTGAAATTTATCTTTTTACAATAAAAATTGATTGAATATACTTAATTAAGTTTGATTAATTATCTTATATATCACCACGACTTGGGAAAAGCCGCGTTTTCAACCTTGTATAATATTAACACGAAAATTTTTTCGACGGCTCGATTTAATGGTCAGGTAGTGGGAAAGAGGGAATTTATTTTTCGTCAC